ATTTGGCAGTTCCAGAAATTAAATTATACAATCCAAACCTTTTGATATATTGCACAATAAAGAAGTACATTTCAGAGGATCATGCACAAACACATTTAACAAATTCCCTAGGAAAAAACTGAATAAGCACAAAAAATAGCAGCTTTAAAGTTAAAAGAAGTTATTTTAAAATATTTATCTGTAGAAATATATTTTTATACTAATGAAAAAATTCACTGTTTAGGGTGCAGTCAGGAAATCATTATTCTTTAGAAAGAAATATACACCAAGTCACGTATGTAAAATAAGCTCTGATGTTTTCAGGTAGTGTCGAATTACACCGGCTTAAAATTTAATATTTTTATTTATTTAATTTTTTTTTTATACATTTTAACATTGGTATAAATCGGCTCAATGCTCAATTTGACAGCTTAAAAATTATAGGATATTTTTTATCCTCAAGCAGATGAATGTAGAATTGTGCAGATTGATATAGCTTAAAATTCTAAGGATACACTTTAGATTGTAGACTTGCAGGGATAAGCTTGGCAATCAAAGCGTGCTGGTAACCATCACAACCAAAGCCAGTGGTAGTCCCAGTCTAAACATTTATAAAATGTCTCATATTAATGACAAACTGTATAAGGTAAAATTATGAAATGATTTTTTTTTTTTTACTCATGAACACTATTTTTGGTGGTTAAAGCACAAATCCGCACAGAGAGAACTATGATAATAATGCACAGCTACTCAACTGTGTTGAGTTGCTAAATCACACTGCATATTCATCAATCAACAGACAATATTTAAAAAAATAATTAAAGAGTTAAGTGCTACCATTATAATCCCCACATATATTATTACAGTAAGGCTCGAAATCAGTTTTGTACCAAATATAAGCTCCTGTCATGCTCAAATACCATGAATGGGGTACCGTTGGATTCAGAATTTCACGGGGAGTTAGCGAATCGTATTCTCCACTTTTGTTTTTCTTTCTAAAATAAATAAAGTCAATACAAACATTTTTCTAGGCTTCAATACTGGAAAGGTGGTAGGTCTGTAGATCGATACGGATCTTGAAGATTTTAATGCGTACAGCAAGACCCAGATAGTTCCTCCAGAACTATCTGATCCTGCGTTTTTAAACTCCAAAACGCACTATTTTCGAGATAACGCAAGGTATAGGATTCGTATCCACACAGCCTTACATTAATTGTAGTACTGTCATTGAATACGTCTCATTTCGTCGACTTGAGGTCCCTTTGATCGAGAGAGGAGGAGTTTATATTATTTATCGATAGTGTTTTTGATTGGAAAGCCATATCATCTTTAATTTTTCACCAAATCTCAAGATTGAGCCACCAATTTCGAAGGTTTCCTTCTGCTTCAGGTGGGTAAAATAGTCCAATCACCCCGAAAATTCAGGCAAACAAGTTATGAAAGAAAACAAACTTTATTTGCCAAAAACTAAAAAATTACACACTTTTCTCTTGGTTATGCCTATGATTATATAAAATATTACTAAATTCCCTACAAAAGGAAAAAAAAATTATCAAAATCCGACAATTTTTAGGAAAGATACAGCTTACTGAAATTTGTAAACATGTTGTTTGGAACCAACATGTATATTTAAATTAATTTTTTTTTCTTCGTCGTTTATATTTATCGATAAAATAACATTTGATTTCTATATGTTTTGTTATGTTGTATTATTTTATTTTCTTATTAATTAGGCATTTGATAGCAATATGCTGTGAGAATTTTTTGCACGGGCCTACTCTATGGATCATTATTAACAGATAGGATACATGTGTCATCAGCATATGTGGTGATGACAGTGTCAGGATGGTTTGGGGTGTCAGCTGTATAAACTGTGTAGAGGATAGGACCAAGGATACTACCTTGAGGAACACCAGCAGACTGGGAAAAAAGGGATGAATAAGAGTTTTCGTGATTTACTTTAAAACATCTATCAGTAAGGCAGGAGCGGATGATGAGGAATTATGTAGGAGATAGGAATTTACGGATTATGTACATCAGTCCAGGGTGCCAGACCCTATCAAACGCCTGTTCAACGTCGAGAAAGACTCCTGTGCAGTACAATCCGCGCTCCAATTTTTTTAAATTAATTTTATATACATACGAAAATGAACAAAAAGATTGAAAAGAGACATTATGAATGGAACAATCCAAACTATAAATTTATATTACTAAGTTAATATTTTAATATTAGTATTATTTTATTAATGGCGCGCTGATGACCTAGATGTTTTTGTGCCTACAATATCAGAAGAACCAACTAACCAAGTAAACACAATATTTGATTTGATGCAGATCTGATTGATCAATATCTGATTGATGCAGAACTTAACTGATATCTAATCAGTTGTTTCCCTTCTATTCTCTTAGTGAGAAATATATTATTTTTCATTTTTGGAATTGGTTTAAATAAAACTGTTTCTGTTTTTTGAAAATCAGGCCTATTCAAGTTTCATAATTAGATTTTTAATTTATCATAATCAACTCATAATCATTAACGTTAATGTTTTGGAATATTAATGCCCATCTTCCACTAGAAAAAATAATATACAGTTTGAGGCGGGCAAAGTGTATTTTAAAAATTTATTTATATAAATATCAAGGGTAAATTATATATACACTACATTTTAATGGCCTAAAATGTATCATTTTCGACCCGGTTAACTTCCAAAATAATGTAATGTGTTTTGTGTTTTAAAACTCTAAAACGTAATTTAGTCCAAATCTAGGTTATCACAATTTCCAAGGTATACTCATCACATATTGTTTTTGTTTTTAAACATTAAAATATTTCTATTTATTATTGTCTATAAAAAACTAAAAATCCATTTAAAAAGTAAAGACTAATAGCTTTGAGATCTCTAGGCAACCTCAGATAATATAAATTTTTTTTTATTTGTTCGTTTCTTAGAGAGTATGGTAGCTCAGTGGTAGGGCACTGACTTTCAATGCTTAAAGTCCCAGGTTTGAATTCGGCAGATGGCAGATTAATTATTTATCCTGTTTCATTGGCCGTGGATCGACCCTGGGATCGGGAGATCCTCCTTGGATTATACCCAACCTTTACAAAGTTGTAACCTTAATTAAATCATTAATTAGTGAAGAAAACCTGGCAGTTGAGCGTGGTCTCGGTCAAATCACTTCCTTGCATAATCTTTAACCAAAAAACAGTACTTCCTTACAAAGTACTGAACCCAAGACCCTTTATGAGTTGTTGTGGTACAGGTTTTGTTTAATTCTTTTCTTAATCTTATTTTCAGTTTTTATAAGACAACTTTTTATTATTGTAATTAAACTTTCACAAACTTTCCCTATTTTAACTTAGAATTCTAATATTCAAGGAGATGTATAATTTTTAATTAGTTGAAAAACAAATAAAAAGAGATCAACAGCACACTAAATTTATGTATTATTCCTCAGTTGTATTTTTTTTTACCGGTATACCATATCTTCATTAATTCTTCATCAAATCAAGTAATTGAGCCTCCATTTTGAAGACAATGTTCTTCTTCAGGTGTGAAAAATAAGCTCATCTCCCAGAAAAGTCAGGGTATATAATTATATGAATATAAAAAAACTTTATTTGTGCATAGCTCAACATTATAAAATTTATAGCTATTTATAAATCAGGTGATTATATCGCATAGAGCAACTAGTTACTTGTAATATTATTTTAAACATGTAGTAAAAATATGGTAAAACAAAATATACATGAATATCGTAAAATTCCTTGATATGATTAATCAAATTCTGGGACTGCCACTGCTTTGCAATGTTTCAAAAAATTAAGATTTTGTTTTTTATAGAGAATTAAATTAATGGGAAAACACAAAAAATATTATTTACATCTTGAATAATTATCAATTAATTTAGGAACCAATGCAAAGTCATGCCAGGTTAAGTAAACATAAGTAAGTGAGTAAGCCATTTCAGGTTTTAAAATAATTTTAATTTCTCATCTAACTGTATGAGCTTATAGCTGCTGTTCCTGCTTTTGAATGTAACTGCATTTGAATCAAATTTGTCTATTCTTCTTATTATTTTTTAATATAATTATAATTCCTTATTAAATAATTATTTGATAATTGCACAAAAAGCAACTTTTTTATTTAATATTTCTTATTAAATTTCCAATTTTCATCACTACACTAAACCTTTTTTTTTTTTTTTTAATTTTGTTATGCAATACAATAAATATACTATTTTCCAGACAAAGAAAAGAATCCTTAAACTTATTGTAAAAAAATTATGGAAAAACTATAAGAATGATTTAAAGTCAATCGTGAAATCCATACTCTTCATGAATGTCACAAAACAAGTTTTAAAAAATCAAGGGCAGGCACAACCAAATAGTTAGACTCAATCCAGAGCCCAGAAGATATGAGTTCAGCAATTTTATCAAATGAGCATTTCCATTTCCACTACAAATAAAAAAAGTAATAATAAATAAATTGACAGGTTAAATAATTATCAATTAAAATAACAAGTTTTGCCTATTGTTCATGGTTCCCTCAATAAACTTCCCAAACCCAATTTTTTTTGGTCAAACCTTAATCAGATTATTTTGATCGACCCTATGAAGTTCATTAATTAGTTTATCACTGTTCCTCGTCCATCCAGAAAACTTAACATACCCTCTATAGCAATTATGAAGCAATTACTTCAATTATATATTTTAAGATTATGGGCCATATAACTATGCTTGTGATGCCATCTCAATTCTTCAGTCGGCTTGAGCTTCATTGCACCAAATATTTCCTATAATTTATTTTCAGAAACTTATCTCCTCCAAACCAGAAAAAAAAATTAAAAAAGGTTTCGAAAAAAACCACAAAATTACTATAATCTTGAAGGTACAAGTTGATAAAAAATCATAAACAATTTTTATATCCCTGAAGAGTGTGATAAAAGCATTGTAATCAATTTCAAAATTTTGCTGAAATTCGCCATTTTGATATAGAATTGGATTGATACAAGGCAAGATGTCTGTTTACCAAAGTTTCCCGATGAAGCTAACTTCACTTCTAAAAATTAATATTTTTCCTTTTCTTTTTCAGATAAACACTGGTGAAAAACACATTATTTTCATTTCAACTAAGTTTCCAACAAAATTTTGAACAAAATTATTTATTCATATAATTCATTAAATATAATTAATTCAATTACAGAGAGAAAATAGCCTTGGGGAAATTTTGTTCTCCCTTAGCTATCTTCCTACAGCAGAGAGACTGACAGTGGTTATCGTGAAAGCTAGGAATCTCCAATTTGCTGGTCCAAGTGGAGATCCTTATGTTAAGGTATTTCTGAATACAATTTATTCATCATAAGTTAGAATCATAACAAAATTTACTAGTTAATCACTAATGCATAAGAGTATTAAACTCTTTTTGTATTCCTTTTGGTGTATAATCAAATTTCTTTTATAGAAGCAGTAAATATAAAAAATTGAAAAATATATTTTAATGTATCAGGCTTCAAATATATGGCTTTTGTAAATACAGCTTTATTATTGATGTTCAAAATTACAGGTTTATCTCCTCAGAAATGGGAAAAAGGTCCACAAGAAGAAAACACAATCAAAGCGAAATGAAACATGCCCAATTTTCAATGAAGCTATGATTTTCAGCGTACCTAATAATGCTCTTCAGGTAAGAGATAGAACTATATAACAATATTTTCACAGGCTGGAAAGACATTCCCTAAAAGAGTTTTATATATATATATATATATATATTTTTTTTCGTCAGCCTTAAAAAAAAAATTAAAATAAAAGCAGTACTTGCTTACGACAGAGTGGAATCCACTACATGTTGGGAATTCAAAAGAAATACAAAGCATATAATAATAATTAATTTCAGGATATTATATATATATATATATATATATATATATATATATATATATATATATACATATATATATATATATATATATATATATATATATATTTCTTTTGAATTCCCAACATGTAGTGGACTCCACCCTACCTTAAGCAAGTACTGCTTTTATTTTAATTATTTTTTTTTTAAGGTTTTGTCCCTTGGGTACGAAATGAAGTATCTTTTGTGCAATCGATAAACATATAATGCTAATATTGGTCAACTTTAGATGATTTTCCTTTGTGAATGATATTTTTAACCTCACTTTCCTAGCTATTTTCTAATCAATTCTTTAATTAATTAATTAATTCAAGCTATTTTCTAAGTAATTCTTCTATTTGTCTAATTGTTTCTTGTTTACTTTCTGCCATAAGAGACAGGTCATCTGTGAATGCCAAACATCTGACCTCTACCCCATTCTTACAACTTAATTTCACTCCTACTTTTTTTTGTCCCAAAGCATTTTAAAAACTTTGTCTAATACAGCGTTGAATAGAATCGGTGAAAACCCACCACCTTGTCTTAATTCTGTTTTTATTTGAAAAGGTTTGCTTATTCTCCCCTGAACATAACTTTGAGTAGGTGTTAGTTAAAATCCAATCCAGCCCGTACTTTTCAGAATTTTGAACAGAGCCTCCCTCTCTACCAAATCATATGCCTTTTGAAAATCCCCGAATGTTACATAAATCCTCTTCAATTTTGCCACATAACATCTAAGAATTAAATTTAAACTATGTATCTTTCTTTTATATGTTGTAAAATACACCTTTATTGGAAGTTGGTAAAAACGAGTAAATTAGTAAATTAATGTTGAACAGTTAAAAAGTAAGCTAATCTAGTTCTGCTAATGTCAGGAGATGCTTAAATTTGAAAAATAGTTTCACTAGTTCAGAAAAAAGAAAAATTACTGCTGTGGAGTTTCCCCAAAGAGGAAAATGGCTGCTAGTGGAAGAATAAAGGAGTTCAGTTGTTGTTTGGCTGTGTCACTAGTTGTTTGGAACTACAAGAGAGAGGATGTCCCAGGGAGCATGACTTGAGTAAATGAGAACGGAGTGGCTGAGCGGGCTAATGCGAGTGCACAGCACCGTGCGTTCCTAAATCCTGGTGCCCAGTGGGACTTTTTGGCATAAATCCCTGCTCTCTTTCTCTCTCGGACTAGGAAAAACCCCGTGTAGATTAAAAGGCAAGGTTGAGTACTTAGCTTAAAAACAGTTGAGTAGATGAAAATATTTTGGAAGATGTGTTTGGCAGAACATTAGACAGTGTTTGAATACAAATGAACTCAATGCCACAAAGGAAGAAACAGTCTAAGTAGAAAAAAGGTTAGATGGTCAATTCATCCTTGACTTTATTTTAAAATCAAATGGTGTTTAGTGTAAATAATTTTAGTCTGTTTGAGTCTTTTGATCTGATTGTCAGTAACCCATATCTGAGATAAAATAATTATAGATATCAGTTTGAAATATTTATATTCTTATAAATTTGTTTTTTATTTAACAACCTCTTATTTCTTTTGGAAGTATCACTACAGTATGAAGTGATCTTATAGGAGTTTTGTTATTAGTTAAAAAATAAAAGACATATTACAATATAGAGATAAATAACATTTTCAGCATACATTGATGTAAAAATATTAAACTAATTACTAAATTTTAGGGCTTGGAAGTAAGAGTTACTGTAGCAGACAGCAGTGGTGTGATAGGGCACGTGATAGTCGGAGGAGCTGCGGCAGGTAAAGCGCTCTCACATTGGACCCAGATGCTTGCATCCCTGCGTAAACCCGTTGCTATGTGGCATCCTCTCCTTCAGCCTCAGCACTTACCGTAGCCTCTGGGCCCGACTAATATACAATGACAATCTCCGCTTCCTTACTATGAAATTAGTCCTTGTGATACTAGTTCTTCAGATGTGCCTATATTCTAGAAATAAAACTATTTAAAAAAAAAGTATATAAACATACCTTTAAGTAATATAAAAATCAACAGTAAAGTTATTGAATGAAGTGGTTAGATGAGAGTTATTTAAATGTGTTCAATTTAACATTGACATAATAATTGTGGATAGCTTTTCAAAAAATTATAATACCCGATCTATTAATCTTTGACTAATTGTGTTACAAATAATAACTGAATAAATATTAATATAAAACCATTTAAACACTTCATCGTAACAAATATTTTTTAGTATTAGAATGTTAAAACTTTCAAATTAAATTATTTTTTCAAAACTATAGCAATTTAGTTGAGTAAGTATTATATTATTTTTAATAGCATATGGTAAAGTACTGATTATCTGTATGAATTGAAAAGCTAACTTTGAAAGTTTTTCAATTGAAAATATGGTTAAACATAACAATCATTAAAGATAAAATAATTATAAATTATTTTTACTTAATTTCAGTTAAAATTTTAACCGGAGTCGAACAAATGTGTCATAAATCTTGTCTACTGCATTGCCTCTATGTTAAGGTAACCAGAATATGAATGAAATTAAAGTTTATTAATTTATTAAATATGCTGCAATGACCTACATATATAATTATCATGTTCAATGAGCTTATAATTATTCCACAAGAATTAAACCTCTTTTTTATTTTATATTTATAAAATTCTCATGAAGCATATTATATTATTTTGAAAATGTTTGTTCAGTTCATTTTTTATTAACGTCATGAAGAAATATAAAAATATATATTTCATGTTTTTACATTTTATGTCAATGCAACATGATATTCTTCAATTTAATGAATTTTATTTAATATGTATGAAACATCTAATTTTAAAAATCTACAAAAAGTGAAATTAATATTAGATTGTTCCTAATGCCAATGTACAGAATTGTCTTAATGGAAAATCATCAGCCTGATAGTAATTTTTCTTTTTTATAATTTAACAAAATTGTATAACATACGATATGTCAACATATGATAGAGCAACATTAATTATATATGTTTCTCAGCACTAATAAAAACTAAATTCTATGGCACAAAGTATATGAATATTATCTTATTTTAATTTTATTCTTGAATAATAAATTAAATGTGCTCAGTTGCAAGTGATATGTTAATAAATTTTGTTCTGTATCATTGCAGGGGTGATATAATACATAACTTATACTTGGGAATAGTTTTTTTAGAAATATATTAAAATCAGTATACTAAATGAATGTCTGGCAACATTTTAAATGAATATATATTACTTATATGTATAACAGCAATAAGCACACTACAGTTGGTATTTAGCCTATAAAAAATATTTGAACTTGTGTGTGAAATTTCACTTCTTTAACTAAAAGCTATAAGTTACTCTCTTTTAATTTTTGGGATTGTCTGCAAGGGAGAGAGAAACGGGATGAACTGTATCATTTTGATATCAATTACTGAACAAAAACTATAATACATTTAAGGTAAAAGCTGTTAAGTAAAAAAAAAAATAAAATAAAAAAATGAGCTGACATCTTCCTCAAAAAATGGAAATAATAAGATTTCAGGACCTCCTAGACCTCTATTTTATAAATTTGTGGTTTACATTTTCTCCTTGTATATTTGTCAGTTTTGCTTTAGTATTGCCGGAAACCGTAATCAAAATAATGAGTGGCAAATCAAGAAGATCCTTCATGATCTACTTATTATATATATATATATATATATATATATATATTTATTTCTCTTTAACTAGTTTGCTTTATCCCAATTTTGTTTTCTTAGTGTGTTTATGATTTATCTGTTTTTTACTTTACTTGATGAAAGAATTGGAAATTTAATGGGGGAAAAACTACTGGAGCTTTATAACGGGGCTTTTGATACTAGCTGACATGCCTGTTACTTCATAAATTCAAACTTAATTTAACAGGTCTTCAAAATGGGACCATTCACTATTCTCTCTTTACCAAAAAAAAATACTAGTGGTCTGGATTAAATATAAAGCAGAAATAGATTTTTCTATAGCCAAAAACAGGTTCTTGACACTGACCAGTATTTATCAATAAATTTAAGTTGGAAAAGGAAATGAAGTTAGTTTTATAATCATCTAAAGGTGATTTTTGTTAATATCTATTTCAAAATGAAAAATATGGAATTTCAACACTTTATTTCGCAAAATTACATCCCTGTTCTTATTCCTGTCAGCTATAGGAACATTCCAAATCAGTATCAGCTACAGGCACAGCAAATCGATTCTCTAAATTTAAATTTTTTTAAAAATTTATATGGGTGTTTCATATATTTGATTTGAGTCTTGATAAAGTGAAAAGTAGTTTTATGATATGAATTAAAGAAAAATACAATAACATCATTATTTAAGTTTTTATATGAAAAAGTTCAAAGAAGTTTTCTTAAGCATGTCAGCTACTGTATTTAATTTAGCTGACATTTTTTTCTTTTTAAATAATTCTTAGTAGGAACTTTAAATTAATAATGGTTTCTAGTTACTTTTTTTTTTAATTGAAAAACAGCAAGTCCTCTTCTTTTCTTTCCAATATATATACTTATTTATTTCATTTAACATTCAACCTGGGCTAACTTAAAAGTTTTTAGGTATAGGCTGATTGCTAAGATGTAGTTACTATCTTATTTTTCAACTCTCATTCATTGATTAAATTTAATTATATCTAAGTTTCATTTGCATTTAATGCATTAGCATCAATTTTTTTTGTTTTCATCAAAAACATCACTAATAATGCTGAGAAACACTTCTTGATAATTATATGTCGTAGATTAACAGATGCACAAATGCTACTCCTCCCTACCTTTATCCGACAAGGATTAATTTTCCATGGATATATACAAATAATTTAAAAACTGAAAACTTGATAAATAAATACAATCAGAGAATAATATGAGTCAAACACAACTTTTTTTAAAAATAAGAGCTTTAACAGTGTCGCCAATAAATTAGTGGTATATTGTAAACAAAATAGGTTTAGGCTAAAAGAATCCCGATAAATGCCCATAGAAGGAGTTTATTGGTAACGCAATTCTTTTTTTTTTTTTTTTCTTAAAGCGGCATGAGTGCACTGCGGCCATGTAGGCCTATTGTACGCCTTTATTAAAGTCACTCCTGTTTAGAGCATAATTCCTGCAATTTCAATAAACTATAATAAGCTTGTTAGATTAATGAACTCGTTTGCCTTGGGATCAGTCACCTTATCAATGCCGAATAATCGGGATCTTAGTCTAGCAAACCTGTCGTACCAACAAGTAATGTGCTGTCTCATCCTCCTGGCTGCAGTACCTACAAAGAGACGACTCCATGAGCCGGAGATTGAACATGTGATAATTCAGTTTACAGTGCCCAGTAGATGCCCCTGTAATTTTCTTAAGTGAGCTCATGCTCAGATTAATTAGTAGATTACTTATTTTTTGACAGATTCTTTCCAGAAACAGTCTAGAGTGAGACTGTTTTTTCAAGTACCAGTTCTTTTCAGCTTCAGCACCATAGATCTCCCCAATTCTGTTTGTTATTAGATACTGACTAATTCCACAGATGGTTTCAGGAGCTCTAGGTATCATTTGTGAGCTTAGTGTAGCTAGTTCATCCGCCATCTCATTACTATGTATTCCAGAGTTACCCGGAACCCACTCAATGTTTACCTTATTAAGTCTGGATAAGTCATTGAGAATTCTGACACAATCCCCAACAGCTTTAGATCTAGTTGTATATTCCAGTGCTCGTATAGCCGCTTGACTATCAGTATATATTGAAATTCTCCTCCCAACTAACCTATCAAGAAACACTTTTGAATTATTTTCATATTGCGCTACACTATTTTAGTTTTTTACTTTATCGCCAACTTTCAAGATAAAAAAGTCACTGAACATGCAAAATTGACAGAACATCACAGATTCTTGAATCATGAGAAACTATGTATTTAATTTTCATTACTACACTTTAGAATTATACAGCTTTCTTTTAGTCAGTTTTTACTCTGCTGGAATTTCATTGGTTACATATCTATGTTGCAATTAATAAATTCTATTTCTTATTTAATTTTATTATTAGTTTCCATTATGTAGGGTGTAGGTAGGGTGACTGATACGGTCGCCTTGGGCGTCATGGGTGAGTGGGCGCCACAAATTAAAGAAAACATATTACTTGGGCTCCTCAATAAGCTTCCTACAAATGTCTCTGTCTCTGGCAGTCAACATCCAGTCGCTTTGTTTGAGCCATGATAGTTCAAGCACGATTTGCCACACCATCAGTCCATCAAAGCTTTTGCCTCCCTCTCATTCTTTTTTTGAAAACCTGTTATGTTAACAGCTTCCTCAGCATCTCTTTGTCTTTCATACAGGCCACATGGCCAGCCCAACGTAGCCTTTCTGTTCGTAGTACTTGAACAACATTGGGCTCGATATATATCTAAAAGCTCTTGGTTGTTCATTGCCTATTTTCTTTCCTCCGAATATACTAAGATTTTTTAATAATCTTATTAATAATCGAACTTTTCTTTCAAAGATTTTAACGTCTTGTTCACTGTTCTTCAAAAGAGTCTATTTACCAGAAAGTGTATTGGACCTATTAGGGTCTTATAGAGACATAATTTTCAACGTCTGGAGAGGTGGTGACTAGCTAAGTGTCTATAAAGCCCAAAGTAACATCTGTTAGCCAAAACAATCTTATTTTTGATCTCCTATTCGATTTCATTGTCCTGTGATCGACGATCGACAATCGACCTGAGATAAGTGAACTCAGCTACTTTTCCAAACTTATGTGTCCCAGTTGTAACTGTTTCTCCTTCAAAAGTTGTTTCTTCAGACACCATGTACTTAGATTTAGAGCTGTTCACTTCTAATTCTAGACGCTTTGCTGGTTCTGCCCAAGCCAAAAATGCTTCTGTCAAAAGATATATAATATTGTTAAAAATTGTGGTATTTCTCTCCGAATTCTATTTTCTGACTAATTTCTTTTCATCTTTGTTTAGACCTTCAAATAGGACAAGTATTCAAGTAGGAATTATTATTTTTAACCTCAGTTTCAGTTGCACTTAGAAAAATTATAAGCTACCGAGAGATTCAAAATTTAGCAGCCATTGGTGGAAGTACAAAGTTAAATCTTGATATAATAAGTTTAACTCATAAAAGAGGCTAATAGCTGATTTAAGTTTGTAAGGGAGGGGGTTGTCTTATTAAATTTGGCGGGACTCCTATAATATACACTGTAATGCGTTACGCAGTGGATAAAACCCCCGGTATGCTTCAAATGTTATGCAAAGTCAAATTCCTCCTGTATTGAAGGATGACATAATAAGATAATAACTCATAATTGGGAATTAAAAAAGCATAAAATCTATTATCCACATATTAGAAAGGTCAATGATAATTCTTACAACTAATGAATTGATTGAGAAAGATTATTGCGAAAGCAATAATTATTTTTGTTTCATTATTAGAATGTCAATTTCTTTCTTTCTTTCCTTAAAATTTTAATATTTTAAAACATAATAATTATTAGTAATGCTTTTACCAACTTGAAATCATCCAACATCATATAATTATTATATTTTCCATACAGCAAGAATGTTCAAGTAAAACACGAATTCACAAATGCTTGTTATAATTTTAATTAATCAGAAGTCTTAATTTTTATTACTAATTATAATTTTCTTTTTTTTTAATGAAACAAATAAGTAAAGATGGACAATAATGATTTTTATTAGACAATGAAGCTTAAGAATGTATTATTATTTATTTTTGTAATTGTAACATTAATGTCTTTATTTTACTTTAAGCATGTAAATAGCTAGTAGATATATGTAATTAATTTTTAAGATGAATTTATATAGATAGAAAAACCCATGTTTGAAATACTAATAAATTTTATTTTATATATAATAAATATATATACATATATACAAGTGTATTGGATGATATACATATTATGTATCAATAATAGTTTTCACCAATTGTAATTCTTTAAACAGACCATGGTCTTTATGGGAGCACTTTGTTAATAGTTTAGTGAATGCTAGTCTTTATGTCTAAATTACAATTATTTATCATTAAAAAAAAACTACTATAAGCTTTTGCTAAAAGTGTTTTTTAATAATGTCATTAAATGTGTTTATTCATTAGATTTACTGATTCTAAACCAGATAATTTTATACCATTTAACTATATATATATATGTATGTTCTATGATATGTATGATGTTTATATCAAAAATAATACTGACTATATTCACAATAATCATTAGTTATTATTTGCATGCATCAGTAGTTTAATTTCATATACATTAATTTTAATTGCTCAATTATGGTAAATAAAAGTTAATAAATAGCTGATATATTGATGGAATAATCACAAATATAAAGGAAAATTAAATATAATTAAGAGCAATATAGTCTAGTGGTTGACAATAGAGCACCAGTTTTTAAAGCTTGAATCTATATCAAATCATGGCTTATGATATCATATTTTCTCAAGATGTGAAATGCAGGCACCTTCAAAATAGGAACCATGATTTGATAAACAATATGAATTAGAGAATAAATCAGAAGGTTATAGCTTATTGTTGAATAGGGACGGATGGGTTGATAAATACCAGGTGAAGTAGCCAATTATAACTTCCTTATGACTGACAAAGGTGCCCATCTCCCAAAGGCCGATGATGCATCAATCTTCCTCTCCTCCACAAGACATTTTATTGCTCTCCTTTTCTTAAAAAAAAAAAATTAAAAGAATGAAGAATTAGAAAAACTGTAGATCTTATAAAACTACACTTGATGTGGATTGTTTCATGTTTTCACTTACTTCCATCGTTTAAAACTTTTCACTTTGGAAATTCATAAGCCCTTCAAAATGTACCTCCCTTAAAAATTCAAAATTAGTCTTTCAAAAATTTGAACTTGAAACCTTTTCTACCTCTGATGAATGTTGTTTATTTGTATTCTTCATATTTTTTTTTTAGCGTTTCGAGAAATGTTTTCCCATCATCAGAAGTAGATTTACTATTGTTATATCTTAAACCGTCACTTTTTTTTTTTGTCCCTTTGTCACTTTATCTATTACTTTATCTGAAGTTGAACATAGTCTAAAATACATAATATTATATCAGCAATTGTTTCTAAAAATCCAATCATGAATACATGATAGGATGAAACCTCTTTTGTGCTGTTTTCAATTGGGTGGGTACGTGGTTCAACAATTTCAATTTTGTTGAGTAAGTAAAGATCTCTAATTCCAAAATATTTATGTGAAACAGTGTTTTTCATTTATTTTTTAACAGAAAAATGTAAAAATATCTGTATGTGCCAGTTTTCGGCACCTCTTACCCAACTTTCAAAAACCTAAGGAATTAAATCTGGGAGTCTTCAGAATGAAAGAACTACAATGATAGTATGCAGGAATGTGCGTTTCTTGCCAAAAAAAACAAACAAAAAATACGTCCTTCCTGGGAGACACCTGTTGGGTTTCTAAGCTTTAGCAATTTTGTTGTCCTATAAAACTTTCCCGCTTGAAATATTTGCCATTTGCCAGCTCTAGACCGTTCTCAACTCTTAATATAGCAGTTCTTGTCTAGCCTGCTTCAAACTGTTTAACAAATTTAAAAGAATGTGAAAAATAAAGATATAAAACAGCCAAAAGGAAGTTATAATTTCCAACTGCACCTGTAAAACAAAAAATTTTTAGGTGTTTATGTCCTGAGGGTTTTATGCCTGTAAACAACAACAAACAAGAATTCTTTTTTTGAAATCTTATTCAAAAAACAAGGAATTAATAATCACTTATTTGTAGTTTACAAACAAAGTAGAAGAACAAAGAACATAGAGCACATTTGGGTTATTTTGGTGTGAGCTGGTTTATGGATAAGTTAATGGGTGAACTGTATGTTAATGAATGAGTGGACTTCTTTGAAATTCTCTATTTTGTAATAACAAGCAATATAATGAGTGGAATTATCCAAAATTTGGGGAATAATATAATTAGGTGGTTTGTTTAATTTAGAATGAGATACATTTCTATTTGTTCCTTTTCCTTGGGGGTAAAATTAATGTAGTATTTATTTAACAGAGTATTTGCGATAGGCTGGCTCTTTTGAGGTGTATGGGTAAAGTTAGGAAAAAAATATCATTAACTAACAGTTAAAAATTATAGCTAAATTAACAATTAACGATAACAGCAACAGATAAATAATTAAAAATAAGCTGTTATTAGTTTGCCCAAAGATAATTCTTGTAGCTACATGAGCTATTAGCGGAAACAATCAACTATTTTATTTAGCTACTAAATATTGGTTATTCCCATAGTTCTCTAAGTTTCTATTTATAATGGTCAAAGTTGGCTTGAGTTCATAAGTTGCTATTGGATTGTTTTAACTTTCAACCATACCAAGTAAATCTATTTCCCAAATCAGAAAATTAGATTTAAGTCATGTTTTTTAAAAATGAAGGAACACAATATATCCATAAATCCATTATCTTTGGCTGTAACTGAATCAAGTTTCAGAACTATGTTTTTTCCCATGATTAAAATAAAATATAGGGATAACCTGCACAATACTATGAGCAGGCCTAAGGATTCAAAATATATAATGAGAAGCAAATAAAAATGAAGGATTAATGATAGCTAACAAATTATTATTTAATAACACTATAATATTATCCAAATAATAAAATAATTAGCTAGGATATTTCTGATCTAGTGCAAAAGTTAATCAGTCTTAATTGTCACAACAGCTGATTTACATAGCAAAAAAAAAACTTCATTTTAACTAACAGATAATTTAACTGTGAAAATTAGCTACGATCCAACTAATAATAGCTAAAGTAACTGCATTTTTATCACAGATAATTTTGCACATAATTAGCTGTTTTGCTGAATCTTAGCTAATGATAAATCTGTTAGCTGATGCTCAACTCTATGTGTGGGTTTTCTGTCTATCTTGTTCCGTTATCTCCTCGGCCAGTATTTACTTAATTTTCTCATGAGACATAATAAACAAGAAAAAAAAACTTGTTTAAGATTCAGCTGAACTTTCATAGTGAGTCTGATTTTTCCTGATAAAGATAAGGTTTGCAAGGAGTTCCACCTTCACTTCAAAGATGACAGGGCGCTTGCAGTATTTCCAAATAAATAATCATAAATGTCTAGTTGGTTTGTGAATAATTCGCATAGTATATTAGTCAGTGAACAATTGACGATATAATATAGAAATAAGTTAATTCAATGCATTAGATAGAGGAAATAACTTTAATTTCTCTGTTGAATCACATTTGTTAATTCATAATAATAAACAAAAACATATGTTGGCTGTATCTTTGTTAATAATTTTCCAATTTGATAATGATTTTTTTTTTTTTTTTGTAGGAATTTTAGTAATCTTCCAAATAATCATGGATCCAATCGACAAACAAATTTATACTTTTTGATTTTTTTTGGAAATAAAGTTTATTTTACTTCTTAACTTTTCTCCTGAAATTTCTGAAGGATGTGACAATAATTCATCACTTCTCCATGAAATCAATCCCCTTTCGTTTGATACTTCATTCATCACTTCTGAGAGTCGGAAAAGGGATATACACTGCAAAACACTACTGTATACAAGATGTTCAAGACTGTTCGTTTAAAATGTTATTTTATTCAGCCATTATATTCAAATTAATTGTTTATATTTTGAATGTTAGGGCATCCTTTTTTTTTTATTTGATTAAATTTTTGCAACTAAACATCCTTAAACTTCACTTTTATTAGTCAAAAGTAATTCACATTATTTTGTTGACATTTCAGGAAATTTTCCCTAATTTTAGAATCTGTCATTGACGATTTTTCTGTAACAGACCCCTTCGGTCAAAATTATAAATTTCTTCTTAAGTCACTTAATTAAATTAAAAACAATATCAAAAATTAAGGAATTTCTATTGTTCTGGTTGTAAGTTTGTCATAACTGGTTGATAATTTGACAAAATGTTGCAAGAAAATTCTAATAAGAGATACTGAAGATTGGAAAAATACTCCAAATAATATAAAGAACTTTTTACAAACAATATAAAATTCAGTTGCTTAAATTTAATTAATATATCAAATTTAATAATGAAGTAAAGAGAAGAGAGCAAAAGGCTCAATGATTTAGCAAAAGTAACATTGCGATGTCAGCAAAAATTAAAAATATAAGAAAAATTCTCACGAGCTGGTTCCTTCATTTCTTTATCAAGATGAACTGAAAAAGATGCTAGCTCAATGCAGTAAGTGAGCGATTCTGAGTTTTACAGGTAAATATTAGGACAACACAATGACTACTTTAAATGAATAAATTGGAGATAGTTAATAAGGAAAAGATAAAATGGTAATAAAAAAAAGTAAAATACTGATTGGCATTGGATAATGTTGTAAGCGCAATAGAATTTGCTACAATGAGAGCTCATAATAAACAGACCGATGAAGTGTGCCGAGAAACAATAATATTAAGTTGGCGCCTATGGCCAAGATGGCCTGGGACGTCACTGTCTTCTGTATTACAGCACTCATGATTGACAATGTATCTTTATCAAATCAATTTCAGACCAATATTATTTACTTAACAATATCAGTTACTATGAAAAGAGACACAAAGACATAAGTTATATTTAAATGCAATTTATTTTACAAGGCAGTATGGAATACATTTATGTAAAGATGTTTAAAAAACAAAAGCATAACAAAATATATATATATATATTTTAAACAATAAAATAATTTGATTTAAAGCTGGTTCTGAGTTTTATAAAAAAACAACAAACAAACAAAAGTCACATCTGTTACATTATGTTACACTACTATACAAGGTTTTGTGTTACATTTAAACCTATTAATTACAAAAATTAGGGCACAAACATAAATAGTACATATCATAGCCCAGATAAAAAAAAAATGGTTAAATCGAAAAGATTCTTAATTTTCAGAAAAGCATTTTCATTTTGATTGATTACAGAAAATTATAGAAATCCTATAACTTCAGATAAGTTATCTTCCAAACCCTAATGTTTACCTCATAACTGTTTATACCTAATGGAGAAATAATTTTTAGCACCTATCGATAGATATAATGCATCCTTGTCATATTGCGTAAAAAATTCTTCACATAAGATGCAGATATCTAATCTCAAGAATTTAATAGGAACATACAATGTTTTTGAATAAAATAAAAATAAATTAATATAAACCTGTAAAAAAATCACCAAGAGACAGACCATTAATATTAGGTTATAATTTGAAAAATTCCAACCACACAGCCTATGCCTCCAAAATGCAGGCAAAAAAATAAAAAACTCGTCAACGTTTTGTCAATTCATACATAGAGTATGCGATTGAATGTCATGAAGCGATGTGATCTTCGATTAGATTCTCTCTTGTTTCCAGATGATGCCTAAAATGGTGAAACGCATACAATAAAAGGATCTATGTTGAAGGAAAATCATTCCTGAAAGTAGAAAAATTGAAATACCCCGGCTTCACAATAACCTCAATGAATAAAGCTTTCTTCTCCCTTCCTAAGTTATTGAAATTCCAAAAAATTTCAAGAAATCTCAAATTAAGGGTGTACAATGCTATGATAAAGCCAGTTCTAATATATGGCTGCGAGACCTGGACAGTAAACAGCACCCTACAAAAAAAGTATTGAAAGATTTGAGAGGAAAATTCTTCGCACGATAACCGGAGCGATCTGGGATCAGAATACTAGCACATGTAGAAGAAATACCAATAAAGAACTGCTTATAGAAATTGTTCAATAAATATCCCATGATATAAAGGCATGGAGGTTAAGATGAGTGGGGTATGAAGCTCGTAGCCATCTGGCAGCCTCTATAACAAGGATGCAAATAGAAGGCAAAAGACAACATGAAAGACTAAAAAGAAAATGGATAGATAGAATCAACAAAGATGCAATAGAGTTGCGTGCAGATAACTGGAAATAAATATCCTAAGACAGGCAGAGATGGAGCAGGCTTGTTAAGGCGGCAAAAGATATACATGGTCTATAACGCTAAAAGATAAAAAAAATGTTGTGTGGTTGGAATTTTTCCAATTATAATAAAAAATTATAAGAAAAAACCTTGGATAATACTCGACACTAAGATAAAATAATAAATATTTTAAGTTTACATCAGTCCTAGCTGAATTTTAAAATAAAATATTACATTTATAAAATGTGCAAGCTTTACCTAAAATCAGTAGCGTATTCAAGATTTAATTTTGGGAGATTAACTATACTTTTTCTAATAATGGTAATTATTACTCTTGGAGATAACATTTTTTCTTGAACGTGCTCACATTTAGAAGCTGAAGCACATGCTTCATAATTTAAACAGATAGAATATAGTAATTGTTTAAGTATTTGGCTCAGATCATTGATATAAAAAATATATAACAATGAAAAAAAAATTAAAACATTTTTCTATATATTATATATATGTATATTTTTTTTTAAATTTAGAAAACATAAAATAAAAAAATTATAGATTACTAGAAAATCTTCAAAAGGGATTGATATTTTATTGAAGGATTACTGAAAGTTACTATAGTGTAAGACCACAGGTATTTTACTTAAATTTACAGTGCATATTTGATAAAACGAACCTAACTAATTCTTACTGTCTGATAAATTTTCATTATAACTGAAAAAAATCTCCCTTTCGATTTAATGTTAGAACTTTCAAAGATTAAAAAATAAATGAGCTTTTTTTAAGATCTATCATAATTATATCTTATGCAACTAGAGCTTTATTAGCCAAAAATATAGCAGTCTGAGAATTTAATAAACATTCAATATATTTTTTTTTACAATTATAATGGCATTTATTTGAAAAGAATTACTTATATGTATATACATATTAATCATTAGAAGTAATTATTTTATTGTCTCGGGCAATATTTTCTATTAGGGCAAATCTTAATTTAATACTATTTAGCACCTCTTTAAAGGAAAAAAAACACTATTGCTTTATTAAATCTATAATAAAATTTTATAAAGATTAAACAAAATATTTAGCATACTGGAGTTTTATTTTTGTTCGATATTTGGTATATTTAAAAAAAAAATAATTTTAAAAAATTTCCTGTATTTCTAAAAATAAATAAATAGCAATAAGATGAATAAAATGGGGTCACTAAAGTTTTTATCTTCTTTGCTCTAGTGCATCAAGAGAAAAATCATTTGCTTAAAGGTGAATAATAATATGAATCAAAAGCAAATTCTTCATCCCGAAGAACCTTGTATTTGTCAAAACAACAAAACAATTTGACAAGTTTGAGGAACTTGAAGTTGTTAATTCAAAACCTTCCAAAACTAACATCATTAGTCTCCAATTTCAGAAAGTTGTTTTAAATGGCAAAACATTGATGATATGTATATACAGAAGTTGATAAGTCAGAAAAGTCAAAACATTTACTATGATAATAATAAATTTATACAAAGTTTCACATAAGTATTGCGTCAATCACTAATCCGAAGAAACATCATAACAATGAATCCATTATTTAAACTAGTTAATAATAATGTAAATAACACATTTATTAATATTTTGATCAACCTTTCTACAATTCTATGAGATCTCTAGCAATCACTTAGCAGAGATAAGACGCAATGAAAGAGAACTGAACGTGATTTTGGTAACATCGCATCAAGTAAAAAGTAAAATTTAGAAGCACAATTTACAAATTATTAATAATCATTATTTTACAAATACTTTAAGTATATATATAGGTATATTAAAAAAATGAGTATTATAAATTGTCATAAGTAATAATAAAATTTAAGAATAGATTTTATTAGGCCTAAAATAGGCTTGAAAATTATTAAATAACATACAATTTTCTTTTTTAAATACTTCAATTTTGAATACAATTCATTTATACATTTACCTTAACAAAGCATTATTATATCGCATAAATCTTCAGTCAAATTAAAACATTAAAATAATGAGTTATTATTCACAATATTGTAATAGATATAATTCATACTTAGGCGAATAATAAAGTCAACAATAATATAATACTAAAAGCAATTTGAGACTAGTTACAATAAACATTCCATTAAATATCACATAATATGTCATGAAGGGATATCCTATAATAACAAGTCATCTAAAAAGTAAAAAAAAAAAAAAAAAAAAAAAGCAATATACAATATGTAGGCTAGAAATAAAACTAATGAAGGATTGATCCCAAAAACCGGACTATTCAAAAATTGAATGGCCTTACACCACTAAGATGATAGCTTCACTTTTAGTAATTTTCCAGCTAGTGAAACTAGTAGTGGAGATTAAGATGGGTGGAACAGGTAGCAAAAGCAATCCATCATGAATTACTATCACGGATTATGATAGTAATCCATCATGGCTTCTAAACAATAATGAAGCCTCAATAGTTGGCAAAAGATCTCATGGACAGCCAAAAAGCAAATGTATAGACAGAATAAACAAAGATGGGGAAGAAAAACTACGTAGAACAGCAAACTGGGAAACAAGATAGACAGAAGTGGAAAAGGCTGTATTAAGGTACTATTCCGCTGGTACTGCCCACGCTAGCGACTGTCGTTCCATAATTTCAACCGTTCATGCAGGTCTATTCTGTTGAAACTGCTCGCTATTGTGGCCAAATTATTTCAATTTAGCAATTTAGTTTGAAGAAATTTTAATTAAAAAGTTTAGCTTGACGTGAAAACACTTGTTGAGTAACTACCCAATGGTAGCACTAATGATATGTCTACATTAGGAGATCACGGGGACATCTTCTTTTCAAATGCCTCGAATGGTTATCAGGAATTGAAGAGGAATTTAGAAACGAGAGAATTGGGATGATTCTGAAGTTTATTATGGAAGGATAGGTATATAGGGCCAGATCTGAAACATAAGAAATATTAAGGTCATTATAGATGGTTTTATTTGTAACAAAGTAGGAAGCATTGAGGATTTTACGAAGGATTTTGGATTTAAGTGTTGGATACGAGAGGAATTTGATGGTTTAGTGGAGCCCCATAGCTCAACTCAGTAAGTCCAAATAGGCCTTATAATAGTCATCTATACTAGTCTTTTGTAATTAATTGGAAGTTTAGAGCGTTTGCCTAATAATTGCTGAAGTAACCGGAAACATCAAGCGGTTTCTTGTCGTTTCAGTCTGGCATGAGGATTCCAAGTTAGACATTTGTCCAGATGGAGTCCTAGGTAGTGAATTTGCTCAATAGGGATAAGTGGAGTATTGTTAAAGGAAACTGTAGGACAGGAAGTCATAGGTTTACGACGAAGGTTAAAGGTAATTTGATGGGATTTATTTTAATTATCCAGTTTTGACACCATTCTTCAAGATTTATGATGTGTGACTGAAGCATTTGGGATGCTATTGATGGGCCATTGTTTACTGATAGGATACATGTGTCATCGGCATACGAGCTGATGACAGTGTTGGGATAGGTTGGGATGTCAACTGTATAAAGGATAGGACCTAGGATACTACCTTAAGGAACACCAGCGGACTGGAAAAAGAGGGATGAATAGGCGTTTTTGTGATTTAAAGTAATTTTAAATAAAAATGTTGTTTTTTTCTTATTATTTAATTTACTTAATGTCTTTTGGATTTAAGTATATTTGAATTCATCTGTAAAATATTTTTGGTGCAACGAATAATCTTGTTCCTTCAGCCTTAAAAGAATGATTTACTATAGCTTTGTTTAAATTTTAATCAATTTTCCATTTAATTTTGTCTAATTAAAAAAAAAAAGAAATGAAACGTATCAAGGTGACTGTTATCATCAAAACAATTCACTTATATGATAACATAACCCATCACTGCCGCACTATCAACAGCTTCACTGACTCGAGGAGTGGTCAGAAAGAAGCAGTATCTATAAGAGGCGATATCATACCTAGATTGCCGAGCAGTGCCAACGAAATAGGCTCCTTTCTATTCTACTGAAGCAGTGGTTAACTGCTAGTCAGTGCGATGGGCAGTACCAGCAAAATAGTACCTTTAGGCAGCCAAGATATCGTATAAGTTAAAAAAACTAACCAAGAGTATGTAGGTCAGCATTTCCACCATATATGTTTTAAATTTCCCTTTTGGTTAGTCAGATTTTCTCTTTGTTTTCTTCTTTTTTTTTCTTTTAATCAATCCTTCAATTTTAATTTATAAAGTAAACATAAAATAGAAAGTTTGATGACTAAATGTAAACTATTTGGAATGAGTTGTGTTAGAAAAATATAAATAACACTTGTAAACATAAAGTAAACAAAAATTTAATAATTTATAGATGTATAGTGCGTCTAAGATGAGTTTGCCTGTAGGGGAAGGGAACTCACGCGGCCTTTACTATCTCAAGTTCCTCCTCCCCAAAAACCTCTCAAGCTCCACTTCTCAACATAACAACAACATCATACCAGAAATGAGTTATTCAATTTTCTTCAAATTGCGCACAAATGTTTATTAAATGTAGGGATTTTAATTAAAAATGAAAATAAAATACCAGCAAGAATGTTAAATAATGAAAATAAGAAAAAAAAATGTGAATTCGTGGGGTCAACTGTTCACACAATTCAATGTTATTGTTAGGGTCCGGATCCGTAGCTCTAAGTTTATCAAGAAATAGACTGTAAAAATTAATTTTTAGATCTAATAAATATACAGTATACAGTATAAAAAAGTATTTGTGAAGCTTAAACATTGTTAACACTCCGAAGGTCGCACAGGATCTGAGAGATCTGTCAAGCAGTCTATTTGATATGTTTTATACTGCTTGGGAGGGGGAGGGGGGAAGACTCTCTCTCCACGTATTCTCTTGGTTCTTGAATTCTTATAATCCAGTAGTGGAGTGATCTGTGTTGCATCCAACTTTTGAGCCAAACTTGAGGAATGACGGTGTATGTGAAAACTTGTCATGGGAAAGGGATGCAATGGCGATCGATAAAATTGAAATCAAAGCCTTTATTTTACTGTTATATATTGCAGGAGTGCATCAAACCGGGGAAGAAGATCTGGATGATTTGTGAGACTCAAGTGGAACAATTAATTTCAAGTTTGGAATTGAAATGTTACGTCCCACTATGAGTGTATGAAGGTATCGATTTTTACTTTGATCCCTACGAATTGACAACCGAGAAACACATCAATAACGTAAAGAAATAGACCGACTGGCACCTGTCTAGGATATATTTGAAAAGTTTGTCAAAACTGCTAATCTTGTTATCCAGTAAGGGCCGATGTGACTATCGATAAGAAATTGGAGCTTTACATGCTCCTGTTCATGTTGTGATGATGTTTATATTAATTATTCTTTAATCCTATTATAATTATGCCTAGTATTCAGTGATTTTTGTGTTCTTATTTAATGGTATACAGAATTTAATATTCAAGTTCTTAATTTTTTCAATGTATTTTTTGTTTTGATTTTTAATATTTTTTTAAAACTACGTAACTGTGTTTTTTACTCAATAAATATATTTAAAATCTCATCTTATATCTGTTTTTTTTTTCATTTTAATGAGGAAATTGTTTGTATTTTTGATTAATAAATTGATTTAATGAAGTGGATCTCACAGACCTGTAGTGACCTTCCATGTGACTCTAAAGAGAGCAATCTTTGGAGTGTTGAACATAAATGAACATGGTAAAACCGAGTGAATTTAAATACATTCATAATTACGTTTTTGGTCTAAGAGTGGATAGTTTTCTCTCTACCCAGTTTACTTAATATAGTAAACAAAAATTGGTAAAAGAAAAGAAAAAAAAAATGGTAAAAGACATTTTTACTAGTAAAAGAAATCGTAAAAGTGTATTTCACCGTTAAAAGTTATTACACTGAAATGGAAGTCAAACTGGCAGAATGAGTAGAGAGAAGACGGGGGAATCGGCGGAAAAATGTGTTACTACTCTCTCATCCTCTCCACCCACCGGCAAACTCATCTTAGACAGACTCTAAACATGAATTAATACAATATTTTTTTATTATACCAGGTTCTGATAAATCTATTAAAAAGTCTATTTCTTAAATATTAAATTAGTAATTTTAAATCAGTCGAAAAAGTGACATAGAGCAACCATTTAAATTATTTATCATATGAAACCAGAAAACTATAATCTATTACTTTTTGTTTTAATTATATGCATAATTTCACTAGGGAGATCTATATTTTACAACATCAAATCATGTCAAGCATTCAATTAATAAAATACAACCTTTGTAAAATAGATTTTGCTTAGAAGTTTTTTTTTTTTTAATATAATCGCACTTCATATCGCAAACTTTACAATTAACACTTCTCTTATTTATTTAAAATTTAAAAATTAAAATTACATATATCGTCGGTTTATTGCAAAAAGACATTAAGTGACATCTCATAACTTCAATAATTAAGAAATTTGAGAATTTTCCTTTTTGAAATCAGAAAATTGTGCACTTAGTGTAACTACATATGATAAATAAAAGGGTGTGTGTCATTTTCGTGCACTTACCACCACTTTAGAATAGATAAATAAGATCAAAATTAATAAAAACATATTTGAAAGTTAACCTATATTACGAATGCACTTAGTGAATTATTGTAACAAATCAACGATCTAATCACTATTAAAGCTAACACGACTCTTCAATTTCTATACTGTTATAACATAGTATTTTAATATATGACTGAATCAACAATTATTACAAGTTTTAAAATAAAAACAATAAATGATTAATAATAATTTTTAAAAAAGTTATATAATAATACAATTACATGAGATACTGACAAATTAAAACACGTAAGGTTCAGCTTATTTTCAATGAAGTAAACCAATGTTATTATTGATAAATTTAATTTTAAATCAAATAAATTCAGGGAATGTCATTTAGAAATGTTAAATTATATAAAATATCATGAGATCTAAAAGATACCAGTCCGTTTTGGTTTTGTTAAGATTTGTTAGAAAAATAACATAAATATAATTATAGGAAGTGAGACGTCCATTTACTGAAGTACAATGATAATATAATGAATATTATTTTTGACTTGCCATGAGTATTAAGTCTTTCAATATTTACAACTCGATGAAGAAATGAGATGAATCACGTGAGCAGCTGGCTGGTCTCACTTGGTTCATCTTCCTCCTCCTGTTATCCGTCAGGTCATGGAGAATAAGGAGGCGGTGGGGGTAGATTTCTCATTCCCACTGAGAAAGTTTCAATGCCATCATAATCTTCTACCAATCTCTCTCGAGGAGGAGTTTCAATTACCTGAACTGCTGGATCTTGTAAAAGATTACAAGCAGTTGCTAGAAGGGATACTGCTCCTAGAAACAAAAAAAAAAAAAACTGAAGATAACAAAGTTGTTTATTACTAATTGGGAACTTTCATGGGAGAGGAGGGAATTTGAATTACAATAGAATTTAAATCATAAAGAACTTATATAATATTGAGATTGCACTATTTAAATGCATTTTTTTTTTTAAAGAACTGTTTTAAGAAATGCGTGTTTTCCTGTAGTTTTCAATTAAAATGGCACAAAAAATTTCTTCAAAAATTGATCAAGATTAAAAAAAAAAAAAAACATAAGTTATAATATCTTCTTTCACATATAAGCATATATAGAAATATATAATCTCTTTAGAAGCTAAAATAAGAATTTTTGTTGTTTTAAAAAAATTATTGAATATTATAAGATATCTCATGTTATCTAAGATAGTGTCATTTATTTTTTAATTTGTATATGTTATTCCTGATAATATTTAAATTCATTGCACAGATAATGGAGTATATTTAGTAGTGATGCTAAAACCAAAGAAACAAGAAAATTTGATGAAAAATAACGGAGTTACAGAATTATGACCAAAAAGATCGAGTTTGGGACCACTGTGTGTGCTGGTAGATAACGTTCGGAACGGTGCCGAGTGCAAAGGGTTAACATGCAGTTACAGAAGCTAATTTAATACATTTTAAACTAAATAGTTTTATTCAGAGACAAAATAGTGAATGATATTTCTTGGATGAAAATTTTGAAGCTGGAAACTATTTCAAGTTAAATAGCAGAAGATATCCATCAGTAAAACTAAGCCACTGAAATGCCCTGTCTAGCTTTGTCTCTCCTTTCAGGACATAGGTATACCCTCACCACATTTCTTTAATCAAAAATTATTTTAATAAATAGTATTTACTATATATTGTAATTTAAAATATTACATAGTGATTTTAAATATTGGTGCGAAGGCAGTGATATCATGAACTACTGTCAAAAAATGACAAAAACAGATGGAAGGGGAAGCAAGTTCCATATGTTAAGCAGAAGAAAATGTGGCTAACATGTAGTGAGTATCAACAAAGAAAGAATAGAAGATTCTAGAAATTGAACACAACAAGATAGAGGAAGATTTACTGCAGAACAGGGTGAGTGGAATATAAATCGTGACAGTTCGAAAGCCCACCAAGATTAGAGCCCGACAAATGTATGGAAATTCATAAACGTTATGTACAATTAATGTATGCTTTTATATTGTATAATTGAGGATGTGTGTTAGTTGTCTCAACCCAACCTGGGAAATAATTATTGATTAAAATAAATATTTTTTGATTCAGAAACTGTTTTGTTTACTTCTCAAAAGGAATGTAACCTTACAACATGGCGTCAAACGTAGGGCTTTGAAAATAAACGTAACCTTACAACATGGTGCCCAACTAACCTGGCTTTGAAATTAGACGTATATAGCCACAACAATACAGAGGAAGATTCACTGCAGAACAGGGTGAATTAAATATCAATAGACAGTTCGAAAGTGCGTCAAGATTAGACTCCGACAAATGAATAGAAATTCATAAAGATGTTATGTACTGTTAATCTATGCTCTTATATTGTATAATTGAGGATGTGTGTTTGTTGTCTCAACCCAATCTGAGAATTAATTATTGATTAAAATAAATATTATTTGGTTCAGAAACTGTTGTATTTACTTTTCAAAGGGAACTTAATTTTACAATATGCACCAGAAAAATCAGGACTTTTTGCTTTTTAATTGTTAAAACCTGCCTGGAATGTGCAGTATGGAAATCCAACATCCAAGTCGGAGGAACAGTGTTGAATAAATCTAATATGATCCTAAGCTTTGCAGAGGATGTTAATGTGATTGGGAGGTCTTTTGGAGCGACAAGGGATACCTTCCTAGACCTACAAAGAGAAACCACAAGAATGGGACTCCCCATTAATGTAAGGAAAACAAATAAATGCTTGCAAACCACATTGGCAGAGGTCAGCGGGAAGGTCAGATGTATACTGGCCAGTTTAGTTTTGAGAAAGTTAAAGAATTAACTTATCTTCGTATGTTGATAACATTGATTTCATTGAATGTTTTTCGTTTTCTTTACATATTTAGGTTACAAGAAAACTTACACAATGTTTCTCAGTTCAGTTTTAACTAATGTCAAGATAAAAGCAAGTAATTATGACCAGTTTCAAAAAACTGCCCACATAAGAAAATATTAAAATTGTGATGTTAAATGAAGTGAAGAAATTTTCACAGGAAATAGCAACTAGGATAGGATACCACCAATCAATGGTAATCATAGTTTTTTTGGGGGAGAGGAGGAGGGGAAATGAATGAATGAATGAATGAATGAATGAAAATAATTTTATTGTTCTGGGGCTAATGTCCCCTAAGAACAAATTACAAATACAGAACATATATTAATGTTCTGGTGTGTCCATATAATACAATTAAATATTTACAGGGTGATTAGTAATAAAAAAGAAGTATAAATAATTACATAGATATAAAATAAACAAAGAAAGTAAAATAAATTAACAAAATATCAATAAATCAAAAAATAATCAGAGTATTTGGGGGCACTTTGAGATTATTATGACTTGGATTTTTAAGTGAATTTCATGATCAACTGGATTGGGAATGGAGTAGGTGTTTGAAGAGGAGAGATTTGAAAGAGGATACTGACTTTGCGTGTCGAATATCAGAGGGAGACAGCTTGAATTAAAAAGGATTTGTAAACGCAGCAGGGATCTAGTGGGATAGGATTGAAAGGAGCATTTTAATTGTAGGATCTGTAGAATATAGGCGGGTCGCCGAGTACTAATAGCTTGGTATAGGAAGGTAGCAAGGAAATACTGACGGCCGTTGGACGGACAAAGCCACTTCAACTCGCTGTAAAACTGGGTAATATGCATATCCTTTGAGAACCCGAAGATAAAGTGTATTGATCAATTCATTAGACGTTTAATTTGATCTTTTAATGGTGCGATGGATTTTAGAATATTGCTCTCAACCTGGCAAAGAAATCTCCAGAGATCTTGTAAATACCAATCTGATAATAAAATGCAATTGGCGATGCAATTTTTATGACCAAGACTGTACCTATATATAAAAAAAAATAAGACATATTACCTGCTGCAGTAATAGTATACACCCCATATCCGTAGGCAATATGGAACCTTCGACTCTCATACAATTCTTGAATAGCATATTCCAATGCATTGGTAACAAGATAGCAAACACCAACCATTGTAATTATAATTAAAACTAAAAGAAAAAATCAAACATTAAAATTATTACCAATTCCCAAATGCATCAAGGTTAAATTACAATGAAAGGTGAGAAATTGATAAGCATTAAAAAAAATATTGTTAATAAATACGCATACAATTAAAGTTATAGTTTTACTTAAAACTTAGTGTGGAAACCAGAAAACCACAAATCAGGAGAATATCACAAGTTGTTTTTATCACATTTTTCGCTATGTGAAAGAAGGCCAATTTTGGCTGAAGAATGATTGTTTATTTTATCAAGGTAAGTGATTGAAATGTAAAATGTTTACATTTCATTTTAACTTTAACCTTCGACTCCAAAAAATGTTTTGCCATTTCTCTCTTTATGAATCAAGAATAAACCTATTAAGTGATCAGAATATTTTTAGTAACAAATTAGTTTCTTGAATTAACAACAGTTATTAATTTTTCAATGTCTATATTGAAATTGAATTAAAAAAATGAAACAAAAGAGGGAAAGAGCGACTTTATATGAAAGAGAGACAAATATGGTTTCATCGGGTCCAGACATCTCATTAGTTCCCTTTCTTACTTTCCTCAATAAACGTCCCATCCATTCTTTTCCCTACAGTCAAAAACCTAGGAGTAACCTTTGACCAGAAACTCTCCTGGAATAACCATATCTCCCAGATTACCCGAAAATCCATAACTGTTCTTAAACAACTCCTAAGATTCTGTGATTGTATTTCTCACAACAATTTCTCCTTGATGTTTTCCTTATCCAAGTCCTCAGAACCAAAAACCCTCCCTAAATCTTGGAACTCCTTATTTTACGTACTCTATCCACTCTCTAAATACCAGGTCTCAACCTATAGATCAATATATTCCCTCCCATAAAACTACTTCCTGCAGCAAATCCTTCGTCATTCGGGCTACCTCCTTTTGGAATTCTATACTCCACACGTCAATCCCCATCCACAAATTCCTTCAAAAAAACTTCTGCTCCACCACCTACTCCATATTCACACTTCCACAAACATGTAAATTTTACTTGTGTCTGTTTAATCAACTGCATAATAGCAATAACAATCAACAGTTAATTAGGCATCGTTTTATTCTTGTAAGCCAGACTAAGAATCATAAATATGTAATTCTGTTATTATTCTTAGGGGAGTGTAGTAACAAAATTATCTTCTTTTTTTTTTTTTCATTTTCTATGATTGATCTTTTCTAAACAATTTTCAGGGTCTACTCCTGTATGGCAGTAACCCTTACCTCTCGTTTTTGTGCTCTTTCCAACTGAAGAAAACGACCATTTCTAAATGAAAGGTTATTTGTGCCTCAGTCATCTTACATAGCCACTATATTATATTAATTTTATAAAACAGCAATTGTACAAGATTTACTTCTACTTAAAAATAAGTTGTTAAATCACTAAATAAATAAAAAACAGTATTTATCAAAAAGTAAAATGAATTATAATTGAAATGAAAAAAAAAATGTTAATTACCTGCCCAAGTGCTAGGCAATCCATTCCTCCTAACAAATCTCAAGGATTTCTTTGTTGGTCCTATCATATCCAAACAAAATCCAACCATTGAACAGAATATACACAGAAATGACAACATTACTAGAACTCGCATTAAATTTAAAACTTCTGGTGTGATACATTGGAGCACTGGAAGAAATAATGACAATGCCATAAAAAAAAATTCAAAATCAATTGAAAATGAAAAAAAAAAAAACTAAAGAAGAAGAACATATATTTGACCTTCTGTTCCGGTATGATACTCTATCGTCACTGCGAGCTTTATACTATTATCCTGAATGGCACCTTCAAAATGACCAAGCCTCATGAACTGGTACAATGCTAAATGAGGGCTACACAAATTTCCAAATATTCTAAACCAATTAAGATGTATAAGTGAAAGTGTAGTTAAAAATGCTGAAATAGCATGGAAACATGCAGCCACATAGTTTCTTTCATTGTCCCTTGGATATGCCCATCTTCTTCTTGGTGGCTCTTCTATATTATAAAGTTCATTTAGAATGTCTAAAAATAAGAATATAATAGATCAATCTGATACAAGAGGAATAAATCGAATAAATTATTAATTAATGAAAGGTGAATTGGGATAACCTTGCATGGTCAGGTATTTGTAGTCTATTATATTCTAATAATGATCAGATTATTACAAGCCATTTTCTATTTATTAGTGGAACATAATTTTCAATATTCGTTTACCGACCAAAACAATACCTTTAAACACTATGACAGTCAGCTGATTCGTTACTATCAGTCACTGATACCAACTGAAGCTTTTGATTGTGATAATATTTATTTTTGACTTTAATTTGACAAAAGGATTTGTGTAAATTTATTTTAATAAATTATTATTTTACGTTTATAGTAAACCAGCAGAAGTATCTTCACTTTAAAAACTGAAAATAAGGACAAAGCAATTTTATTTTGGTAAAATTTAATCATGAAAATTCAATTTATAAAATTATATTTATTATAGCGCGTAAAATTCACATCAACTTGCAGATAGTAAGTAAAATTCACAATCTTATTGCAAAATATCACCTAACTAGTGCGCATGTTAATTCTGCTTTGGCCCTTGAGACCTTTTTTTTCTAATTTAAAATTTTCCTGTTATTTCAAATCTTCAAAATTTCCCATTGTGGTAATCTTTTTTTTTTTAAATCCGGTGTTCATCATAATTTCCATTTATTTTAAAGATGAAGTATGAATATGTTTAAACTCACAATCAGGGGTGCCCATCTCTCCCCCCTCCCCCCCCAAGATCGATGGCGCAAGAACTTACCCCCCTCTCCTCCCAAGATTTTTCATTGCTCCCCTATTCTTAAAAACAGAGCAGCTAAGGTATATTCTATGTTTTTCATATTAGTCCTAAAATTTATAACCCTGTCGCAAATTTGCCCCCCCCCCCTCAAAAATTCAAAAACCTGTCAAAATATGCCTCCCTCAAAAATTTTGATGGCACAACTTGAAACTCCCTGCTGGGCACCACTGCTCACAATAAAACTACATTTGTATAAAAAAACTGATATGGTGACATTCTTCTTATTTATACATGAGCCTTTCAGTTGATAGTAGGACTTAACTCCAATTTCAAAATTTATGATTATTACTTTTAGTCATATTTCTAGTGGGAAAAATGTATACCTTTATTCACCTACTCTGGAATCAACTTACCCATAGTCTGTACAGATATAAATTTTCCAACTTCCAACTAGAAATATCACTAAAATGACATTATTCAAACATTTTTAAAATGAGTTTGTCATTTTGTCAACTGAGAGGCTCATATAAAATCTATATAATATTTAAAAATTAAGAATGTTTTGTAATATTAACAAATAATGTTTGACAATCTCTAAATAAGTACTCAGGAAAGTAAGTATAAGACAGGAGGAAGAAAATGAGCTATCCTCTCTGGAGAAAAAAACAAATAGGTGACCAATATTATATATAAATTATTCCAAATAGTTCATGAATTTTTCGGCAAGTTCCTAAACCCAGTACTAATTCCATCAATCTATTGAATCCAGCACAGATGGAAATTAATTTATGCTGAGTTTAGGAACATGCTGAATCCCAATGGGAAGTTAACACTTCGGGAAAGTTAAAAAACACATGAAAAATGTATATAAGGAATACGTACTTGTTGAATTAAAAAAAGATAAATTAATATAGATGAAAAGTATGTTGAATATAAATATGTTAAGTAAATTTAGAAATAACAACACCATTTAGCAGATTCGTTGACCCCAAAAGTAAATGGAACAGCTAAATCATCAATGATTCAATTGATGAATAAAGGAATGCACTGAATTACATTAATAGATTAACACTGATCTTAAACATTTACAAAGTCATTATTTTCACCAAGAGAAATAATAGTATTTTAAATTGTTTTTTATTTTTTTTTTAATTTATTAGGTTCAGGTTGACAAGAGATAGCCGAACATAAGGAGTAAGGTAATGCTTTGCAAAGAGATTTCATGGAGAAGTAAATTGGTTCATTTATTTAAACAAATTTTATTTATATTAAAAAAAGATTTACTCATACAAATAAATATAAAATATCACATAGCAAACCAGTACAAACATATAAAATTAAAAAAAAAACAGTGAAATAAAGTCACAATTGTTCCTATTTTATCTCAGTTTCTTCACTAGACAGTTTCCGCTTTTTTGCTTCTTTTATCAAGGTTGGTAATAAATTAGAAATTTCAACTTCGATAAAATTTTTTCTTTCTTTGTGATCCTTCTTGTGTTTTGTGCTTTCTGGGGAGAGAGGCCTTTCTAATCCATCACTTATTTTGTATATTACATTAGTTGTGTCAGTGTCGCACAGTATTATATAAATGCTATGGAAAAAAAAAATAAAATTAGAATTGTTTCTATAGTTTCTGATAATTATATTGAAAGATATAAATAACTAAACATAATTAAGTATTTTATAATATAATTAAAAGTATAATCAAGCATAAGGCATTAAGTATAAGTATAATAAAGAATGTTATAATAAACTCCTAGCAGTCAAAAGTAAAATTAATTAATGACATGACTGTTATATAATATGTAACTTCTATTTTATTTTACCCACTAGTAGGTTGTTAAAAAAGGTCTTTTGTATAAGTATAATTAAAACTTTATTTTAAACATTATATTGAGTACTACTCTTCAAAGTAAAGTCAATTGGATATGATGCCTGTACCATTTCTTTGGTTTTGAAGCAAAGAACTCATCACATCCAATTTTTATGTCCTAGTAATTATAAAATATCTTACATTTTAAAAATGAGTCATTGATCAAAACAAACCATACTTTGTATGGTATTTATGGAAAAATAATTTTTCCTTGGTCAAATGAAGAGGATGTGCAGAAGCGTTGTTGTATTGCAAAATGGCTTGGTTCCTGTTGACCAAAGTGGGGTACTTTGCACTCAATATTGCATAAACTTTGTCTAGCTGTTCACAGTCAAGGTTTAAGTCCACCGTCCGACCATTTTTATCAAGCTCGAAATGAATAACGCCTTCGAAGTTTCACTAAACACAAAGCATCACTTTTTCCCCTAATCGATCTTGGTGAACCTCTGTTTATGCAGCTTTACCTGGCTGTAGCCAATTTTTATGTTTGCTAGAGTTTTTAAAAAATATACACTTTTTGTCACATGTGATAATTTGTTTCCAGAACTTATCATCTTTTCTCAACTTATACTAATCCATTATTGTATTCTCTCAAAGCCTCTTTGTTTGGTGCAGAAGAGCCTTATGGTTTGTAATTTTAGCTCTCATTTACGGTAAATGCACCACTAGCTGCCATGCTTAAGGAAATTTCTTGGAACTTTTACATATATAAAGTTAAATATTGATGTTATTATATTTTCATGGATTCATCTTATAGAACTATTTCTCACCTTACCAAGACATATTTCAAATCCATGAAACATTTATCTAAATTTTAAAAAATTGAAAATTAAGAGAATTGTTTTGTTGAGACTAAGAATTTTCTTAAAATGACCCTAAAATTTGAACTTTTTGATTGATTTAAATGCCATAAAACATTAAATCAACCTGTCTGACGAGCATTTTTGTAATACCTAACAGGAGTGCTTTCAGCCTGTAAGGATGAAAATTTGCTTAAAATAATAGGGCTTTTTCGGCCCTGGGTCCCGGTCTACTAGTGAAAATTTAGTTTTCTTAAATTTATTTTGAGTAAAAGCAGCAGTCATTATATTTTCATGGATTCATCTTATAGAACTATTTCTAATCTTACCAAGACATATTTCAAATCCATGAAGCATTTAACTAAATTTTAAAAAATTGAAAATTAAGAGAATAGTTTTGTAGTACCATTAGCTGACACGGTTTGATTTGAAATGTTCCTATAGCTGACAGAGATGAGAAAAAGGATGTAATTAAGGAAAATTTCAAATTCTTCACTTTAAGATTAAAAAAAATTACCTTCAATTTATTATAAAACTAACTTCTTGTGTTTCCCGACTTAAATTTATCAATAAATGCTAGTCACTATCAAGAATCTGTTTTTGCTTTGTATTTAATCCAAATCATTAGCAATTTTTTTTTTTTAACGAGACAGCAGTGAATGGTCCTATTTTTAAGACCCGTTTTATTAAGTGTATCTCTTTGAATTTATGAGAGTACAGGCCTGTCAACTACTGGAAAAAATCCCCATTATAAGGCTCCTGTAGCTGACAACCATTAAATATACAATTCCCTTCATTGAGATAAGTTAAAAACAGATGAAACATAATTTAAAAACACTCCAATAAACAATCAAGCAAAAGTTTTAGGATAAGTACAGAGAAAAAGGCAAACTTAAGGTTTGTTAACCTCTTACAGACAGGTGTGTACGTCGTATAGAGGACGGGAACGGAAAGAAGTCGTGCCTAGCCTGAGGGCCTTAACCGGACTCTTTCCTATCCCTGCACTCCACGACCAATAGGTAAGGATACCACCTGATGGCATCCTTGGAAAAGACAAAACCTACTTCTCTAGCTTCCGCACCGCAGTAGATAGTACCAGAACAACTGGGGTCATACTACTGGGGAGCATCTAACACACGACCACTACGTCTGCAACCGGCGTACCGCCAAGCGGCCACCAGCCCATGTAGTCATTGCCTGAAGGAGGCAGACCTAAGGTCCCAGAGGCCATGAATGGTCACAGGCCCGGGGCAAGCCCCTACGGTTCCCCTGTCCCATGATAGAATGGGGGGCTAACCACCCTATCATGAGAGAGGGAGGGATCCGTACCCTTACCTCTTACAGACAGATGGTTGTTCCTGGGACACTCAAGTGGACTGTGAGGGACCTACCTAATTTGCCACTTAATATTTCGATTGCGATTTCCGGCAAGACCAAAGAAAAGCTGACAAAAATATAAGGAGAAAATATATATATATATACATATATATATTTTTTTTATATTTGGGTTTTATACAACTTAAGGAGTCATATCCCCAACACCCAAAAGCCACTGCTCCCTGTCCATCCCATCTCCTTCACGGAGCCCTCTGGCTACCATGCTTTCCTCTACGTCCTCTATCCATTTCTTCTTTGGCCTTCCACGCTTCCTTCTTTCAGGTGGCATATAGTTATAAATTTTCTTTGGCCAGCAGTTCTCATCCATCTGCATCAAGTGGCCATACCACTTTAACCGTTTGGTCCCGATTAGGTGAAGGATGTTCTTTTGACATCCGACCTTGTCTCTAATAGCTGCGTTTGGGATCCGCTTGATTCTAGATATGACACAGCTTCTTCTCCAGAAATCCATTTCCATGGAAAGCAACTTATTTTCCATCTTTTTTGTCCAAACTTCTGATCCGTAAGTGGCTACGCTTTCTACAAAGGAATGGTATATCCTCTTTTTAGTTTCCAGTCTTATTTCTTTACTCCATAGGGTTGAATTTATTGAACTTATTATTCTTTTCCCATTATTTATTTTATGTTCGATATCAACCTCACTATCTCCCTTTGAAGATAGCCAGTATCCGAGGTACTTGAACCGCTGGCTGACATTTAGTGTCCAGTCATCAATTTCAAGGGGCAAATTTGGAGCGTTGAAAACCATGCACTCTGTTTTACTTTTACTGATTTTCAGACCCCATCAGGAGAAAATATAAAAACTAAATATATATAATATAGGTCTAGGAGGTCTTGAACTTTTATTATTCCCATTTTTCGAGGAGGGTGTCAGGTATTGGTACACTGGTGTCAGCTATTGATACTTTTACCCTACTAACATAATAAAAGTCTATTCTGTAAACTTTCTTTTGTTGTTGAAAAATTTCTTTTTACAATAACTTATTAACTTATATGATGAGAAATAGTAAAAGAAAATTATAAACAAAAAGTGTATAAAATTTAATGTTTTTATTAAAATAACAGAAGATATTTGTTTAAATTCAATTAACACATTGTGGCCTTGGTTTGAACAGGTTCTAACTAGGGTAATAGCACCAATAGCTGACAGTGTTCCGATACCTAACATCCTGAAAAAATTTCAGGACCTCCTATACTTCTGTTTCATAAATTTGTGGCATCTATATTTTCTTGTAGTATATTTGTCTGCTTTGCTTTAATCTTGGCAAGAACTCACATTCTTGATAGTGTCCTGCATCTACCGATAAATTTCAATTGTGATACACAAGAAGTTAGTTCTATAATAAAGTAATTTTTGTTAATCTTAAAATGAAGAATATAAAATTTCAACAAACTATTTCACATAATTAAATCCTAGTTCTCACCCCTGTCAGTTATAGGAAAATTCCAAATCAAACAGTGGCAGCTACTAGTACAACAAAAATATTCTCTTAATTTACAATTTTTTAATAGTAATTAAAATGTTTATTTAATGTTAGATGGATTCTTCATGGATTTTAAATGTGTCATGGCTAGGTGAAAAATAGATCCATAAGATGAAACCAAGAAAAATATAATAACATCAATATTAAAGTTTTTAAAACTAAAAGTTCATAGAAATTTCCTTAATAATGTCAGCTACTGGTGCTTTTACTCAAAATAAATTTAAGAAAACTGAATTTTCATTCATAGACCTGGAGCCACGGTAGAAAAAACTGTAGTATTTTAAACAAATTTTCAACCTCAAAGGCTGATAGCACTGCTGTTAGGTATTACAAAAATGCTCGTCAGCCAGCTCAGAGAGGTCGATTAAAAATTTAGGAGCATTTTAAGAAAATTTTCTCTGGGTTGCATTAAGATAAAATTTTTAATAATGCACTATTACAAAGAGGATCAAATGCTGAACATTTTCCTTCCTTACAGTATGCAGGTCATAATGTTAGTATCTGAGATATTTTAATCCATAGGCACATTTCTTGAGTCAACCAATTGAAGTGTTTTGCATATGGATTAAAATATCACAGAAATTAAAATTCAGACCTCCATACTGTAAGCAAGGTAAATGTTTAGCATTACATCTTTTTTTGTAATGACATATTATTCAAAATTTTATCTTTACGCGACAGCATATAAGAGAGGCGAAAAGAGAAAAAAATAGTGTCGAAAACCAACTGATATCGAGTTTTATTGAAGATATGGATTAAAATATCTCAGCAACTAAAATTCGGACCTGCATACTGTATGCAAAGGAAATGTTCAACATTTCATCCTCTTTGTAATGGCAATATATTCATAATTATCATCTTAACGTGATGCCGTGTCAGAGAGATGAAAAGGGAAAAATAGTGTCAAAAACTAACTGATATAGAGTTTTATTGGAATTATGGATTAAAATATCTCGGAAAATAAATCGGACCTGCATGATATAAGTGAGAGAAATGTTCAGCATTTTGGCTTTCAGTTTTCGGGCTGAAGCTTCCCCATATAAGAGAGTAAAATAGTAAAATATAACCACATGTTATGAAAAAAATATTTAAAAATTACCTTTAGAATTATTATTGTTCTACTTAACAATAGTAAGTGCTCAATTTAAGGCTGATGGGAATTAGTAAGCATTGCCAAGCTACAATTTCTATTCTAAACAACCTATTCGTTTTCCATCAAGATAAAATTAAATCCAGGTTCATTATAGGAAACTAGCCTTCAACCTTCAAGATTATATATCTTGTATTTGATAATGTAACAAAAATATTTTCAGAATACTTGAAACAAAATCTTACCCTTTATCTTGAAATTCTTCGGGAAGACTTCTTCGGAATTTTCTTATCCAACTAGGTGTGATAGAACTACTAACCGAGAGAGGCACATAAACTTCATTATCTCCATAAAGAGAAGCTGATAAATATATTAAATCAAATTCTGAACATAAGTGATAGTTGACAGCCTGTGCTTTGTGAACTAAAAAAAAATGTGAAGAAATAAAAATAAATTTATCAAAATGCAAGTCTAAGGTAAAATTGTATATTTGAATAAATTAATCATTAATACAACAATTTAATGTTTTTACAACAAAGAAGTGGAAACAATATTTATAAATTTTATAAGCCTGTGAATCTATATTACTCAGTAGCTATTAGTCTAGTAGTTCCACTGAACTATCTTAAAACCAAATATTTATTAAATAAATATAGCTAAGTTTACATTGATTGTGACTATTTACTCATTAACTAAATAAATATGTTTGATCAAAGGTTATTCATAGTTTCTTAATGTTGGGATAAAATATTATGGGATTATCATGTAGGAATATTTGAAACAGTTTTAAAGAGGTGAGTGGAGCCTACTAGGATTGCCTTCGTCTTCTCCGCATTCAACTTCAACTTGTTAGCTCCTGTCCAGTCACAAATTCTATTTTAATCTTCTTGAAGTTTATTTGTCAATGGTAATAGGTCAGACGGCGGGAAAGACAGCTATATTTGGAAATCGTCTGCATGAAGATCATTAATGTAAATAGCAAACAGAGTAAGGGATAGAGAGGAATCTTGAGGGACACCATAGGAGAGAAGGACCTTAGGAGGTTGAGCTGGAACAACTGCATACTAGGATAAGTCTGAAAGAAACGATTTGAATCAACGCAGGACACCATTGAATAGAGGAAGATTTTGCAATTTAGTAAGGAGGATGTTATGGACGACTGTATCAAACCCTTTGGAAAAATCTATAAGGATAAGGATAATAAGGTTTCGGTGTTCAACGGATCTTTGGAGGTCATGGGTTATTTTAAGTTAAGGAGGGCGGATAAGTAACCACGTGGAAAGCCAATTGGAATGGGTTGATGAGGGAACACTCCTCTAGGTAGTTGGAAAGTAGAGAAATAGGATGAAAGTCATGCAGTGAGGAAGGATTAGAAGTTTTATTCAAAGGTTGGACTAAGGCAATTTTCCAGAAAGATGGTAATATGGAGTTTTGCAATGAAAAGTTGTAGATATAGTAAATAAGAACAGGAAGGCAGTATTTTATTAATTTTACTGAAATATTGTCAGGTCCATAATCATTAGTGCATGATTTTAAGATAGTGGAACGTAGTTCATCATAGGAGGATACATAGGAGAAAAAGGAGTAATCAGGATTGAAATGGTGATGTTTAATATCAGAAGGAGAAAGATTATGAGTGAATAATAATAAATGGTTATTGAGATCATCTGAAGACACAGAGAAGGAACTGAGATTGTTAGATTCTGATAGGGATAGATTAGGGAGTATTTTCCATTAGGATTTGGAATCAAATAGTGCTATTTGATCACTATACTATGAGAATTATTAGGATGGATGAAGTAATGTGGTTAAAAGAATTAGTGCTGAATATAAAAAAAAAAATGATAAAACAGACAGCTAAAAACACTGGTTGTAGTTATTCAGACTGAAAAAGAAAAAAAAGCGTACATAGTATAATCACACTACCAATGTACTACCCTAGAACATTATATATCTTGATGTGTAGTTATAAAAATCTACTTTAACAAATAAATATTTCACACAGAACATATGGAAATAATATTTTGTTGAAAACTATGATGATGAACACTATTAAAAGCTAGAAATTTTAAATTGAACTGAAAAGGTTAAAGAAAAGAAAAACTGAAATATCTCAACTTTGTGATAAAAGCGAAATAAAAATTTAAACAATGACAAAAGACTAATAGAAAATAAAATGTATAATATTATAACGATACCTTCACACAGCTCGATATAACTTTGAAAAGCTAAAAAAATTTTATTCTGTTTTTTGCAACCCAGCTTTATCATCTCCTGAAGCTAAAAAAAATAAAATAAAATGTGAATTGAATTATTATGAAAACAACCAAATATTTTTACATCAACCAAACCGAGGGTGAAATAAAATAATTTTTTAAAGAACTTTTTATCTTTAGATAACTTCTGAGAATTAAAATATGGATTTACTTTCAAATATTAAACTTACAATTGGATGACCTAAATTCATAGCGTTCAAAATAATATAACAATTTCAATAAGGAAAATGATAATTATTGTTTATTTGAGAGACTTTAAATATAACCATGAGAATACCTCTTTAATATTTATAACCTTTTAAAAATGGCTGTTTGACCATAACCTTGGCAGTTGGTCTTCTGTTGTATTTGTGTTTTCGTTCAAATAGTCCGACTCGAGCGTTCGTGTATTAATTTCTTCGTTATTGTGTTGTTGATGTTTTTCAATCGTTCGTTTATTATAATGTTATGGATGACAAGTCACCTTTGTATTTGGTTAGTAATAGAATAAGTGTCATATCTTAATTAAATTTGTTATTATCTTACTTTTCAAAGTTTGTTTACGTGTCTTATTTCATTTGAGGCTCCTTACGCCATTAGTTCTAGTAACCTGAGTATTTTAATTTTTAATGTATATATTTTGGTACATTTAATTATTTTATTTTTATAATAATTTTTTATTTTTTATTTTAGGCACATCTAAATGCACGGAACGCCGAAAAATTATTGAAGAAACAAGCTTTTGAAGAGGCCATTGAGTGCCATTTAAATGCAAGTGCACTGTTGCAAGAGGCTATGACTTTAGCCACTTTTGCCCAAACACTTGAGTCTCTCCAGTTGCAAAAAAATTATCACATAGCACAAACTGAAATAATCAGGTATTAATTATAATTTTTAATTACTTTCTAAAAGTTGGATGTCATTATTACTTAGTATTATTTGTTTGTTTTATTTTTTACCAGGGCACAACAGATTCAATTTGCTCTTAGAAAAAAAATAGCTGAACTGAGAAAAAAGAAAAAAATGGAAAAAAGAAAATTGCCTGAAGGTGAGCAAAAAAAAAAAGAACTGGAATGGGCAGTTCTAAGGTAAAGGTAGTATATAATTTTTTTGATTATTAATTACCTATAGAAAAGTGCTTTCTGTAAATATTATTTACATAATACACAAGTAATATGTTGACCAGAAGTTTTGAGCCAAAACTTTTGGACAATGAGCCTAAAAATTATTCAGTTTGTATTGCTCTACTTGATAAATTTGTCAACATTTTTGTTTCATAGTAAGCTAGAAAATACTATAAATAAAATTTTAAATTTTAGAAAAATGGAAGAAGCGGATTCCCTAATCAGTCAGCTTGGTGAAAAACAAGAAGAGAGGGAAATCGACCAAGATGATATTTCTAGAGAAGCAAAGTTCGAAAAAACTGTTATAGAAGAACTAAAAGTTGTCAATTCCGAATTGAGATCTATTATAACCAAACTTTTTAATGAACTGGAATCTAGCCGCATGGAAAACGAAAGCTTGAAATCGAGGCTAAAACTGTATGAGGGAGATTCCCTTCCCGATTTAGCTCCCCTTGAGCTACCTACTTTTGATTTCTCCTGTTTATAGTAATAAGAAGTTTTTGTGATATTTTTGAATCTAAAAGTCTGGATATTTATTGTGGTCTAGTTTTGTAATTAGTTTAGTTAGTTGTTATTATCAAGTTCTACTCTCTAAGTAAGATTAAGTAAAAAATTTTCAAATCAGTATTTACTGATTAATTATTAAAATATTTTTTGTTACTTTATTTGTTGTAGAAGACAATACTTCTCCAGAAACATTTTTATTGTATTTTATTATTTGAAGAAACATATAGTATTTTCTTTTACTACTGTATTATATTTTACCAAAATTTCCTATGATTTGTATTTGACTATCCTATTTTATTATTTAGTTTTTTGTTTTAATTAAAATTAATTCATTGCTGTCAATAATTATTTATTGAATGAAAATGACATTTTATTGCTCATGATTGTTTATGTGTTTACTAATGTATTTTTGCCATAAGAATAGTTACATAATATAGTTATGTATATTTTATGTGATACATGTATTTGTGAGTGAAATAAAATAAAAATTGCATATATATTTATATTTTTGTTAGTACATGAAAATTAAAGTGTTACATAGACTTCATTTTATCACTATGTGAATTAAGTGTCACAAAAATACAGAAGTTTTCTTTTGTATTTTTGTTTTTATGTTACATATCACAAATAAATTGATAAGTTATCAAATCTGATAAGACTGTAACCTTTTTTTAACCTACCTCTTACCTTTATAAATTGTGGGGATGCTTGGGTTAACTAGGGAGACCATTCTGAATATGTGATTTTATTGATGCTTGATTTTTGAAATTTTGTTGATGATTTTGTTCTGAAGGTTTTTTTGTTTTATTTGAATAAATATAAACATGAGGGGCAGAACTAATTCTGGAGTGAGATTGGACTATTACCATAGGATTGTTATGAAAACAATCATGGCCCATCAAGTAAGATGTTTTCGTTGACTTGTATCTGTATGTGGTAATTATTTGAACTTCTCCTGATCAACCTTTAGTACCTGAAATAAAATAATTGCTTGTAATTAAGGTTTTAATTTTATAATGATTTATGTCTGTTGTGTATGTTGACATATTTCAAGCACTTCAAAATGGAAATAGCCACATTAATGTTAAAAATAATTAATTGTCATGTAATTGATTCAACCATCATCATGATGCTAAACTAGTGAAGTAGTACCTAGAAAAGTAAATAACAGTACTTTATAAAATATTTAAATGTATTTACTGAGGCCTGAATTCAATTTATGATACTCATGAAGAAATTGGACTAATTTTCAAAATTGAACTTTTTTTTGACTTAACAATTTTTCATAATTATAAATTAGCAAATTTACTACTGATTGTATACCTGGAACAAAGTAAAATGCAGATTGTTCCAATAAATACAACTTTTCCTTCAATATTGACCATGTTATTGTTATATAGTACAAATAAATATACTGAATCAGTAATAATCAATTTGATAACAATTGCTGATGAAGGAATTAAATTAATAATCATATAAATTAAGTCAAGCTTAAAAGAAGTTCTACTTCAAATTTAATATAATGCTAATATCTTTTTGTTGTCCAGCCATATTTCTATGGGTCATGTATGTTAATTTTTATTTCCAATTCTCTAGTCCTTATAATAATGAGGGTAACAATAAAGATTAAGGTGTTTATTGTTTTTGATGTTATTAATTATGTTTTCTTTCTTAAATTATTCTCTATTATAATAAAAGTTAGTTTGTGAAGAACTTTTATAGTTTTGGATCACCCGTTTTTAATAATGTAGTTACATTAAAAATGTTAATTGTTTACATTGGTGTTGTTATATTGTCAAATATACTCTGAGATGAAAGTATTTATTATTCTGTTATAGAATCCTGTAACAGGATTGTTTCCAGCTGGCCTTAATTATGATCATGCTTGGATTCGTGACAATGTATACACAATTCTTTGTGTTTGGGGTCTTTCGATGTCATATAAAAAGATGGCAGACATGGATGAAGATAGAGCAAAAACATATGAACTTGAACAGGTATTTTATGTTATTTTATTTTTTATTGCAACATCAGTGGCATACCTAACAATAATTAATTATGTTGATAGAAAAAAAAATCAAAATAAATAAGTATCTTAAATATAAATTTTTTCTTACTTTATAAAGCATTTTCAGTTGTATAATTTATAGTTTTTTTTTTTTTTTTAAATTAATTGGCTCTGATAGTTAAATTTAATTTCACAGGATTTAGATTTATTATTCAGATATGTGTATGGGCTGTTCTCACCGAACTGGGCACTTTCCAATTTGAAAAGTGTGAATAAAATTCTGTACATAAAAGTGTGAATACAATTCTGACAAAAAAAAGTGGATGATCCCATGTGCTTCCTCATTAAAAATTAATCACCAGCCATACATAAATATATTTTTTACTTGATGAAAAAAAATTAAAAAGCAATAGTATGCGAATGATGTCCATTGTATAGTATAAATGCTCATCATAAGAGAATGGTAAAAGAATGAAACTTTTTACCTTATCGGAAGTATAGAAATGAATTTAAAAATATAATTTACAATTTACTGATGTGGCAATGATGGGCAATGGAATTATGAAAGAAAGGTTTTCTATTCTTTTTCTATGTCATTTTCAACATGTTACCTATAAAATAATAAGCAAGTAGTCTTTCACATCAAGAAAAAAGTTTTAAAAAATATTGTTTTGTTACTTTTATATTTAAGTTAACGATATTTAATAAAATCACACAGTGATTTTGCCAAATCTTTCTCCTCTTGGGGAATCAACATACAACTGCAATTCTTTGGAGGCTTCTTTGTAATATTTTTTTGATTAGCACTATGAGGAGAAGGAGGAAAATTTTGGCCTGAGTTTGGTTCAATTGCAAAACAACAAAAACAAATGATGATGAAAAAAGCTACAACATACTTTTTTTGATTGTGCTTTAAATATTATTGATTGTTATGAATAGGGCCCAGATTTATTTGCAATACAATATGCCATTAAAGGTATGGTAATATAAAATATTATATGTAACTATATAGTGAAATAAGGTAGTATGTTTAATAAAGATGAAATATTTAGCTATAAACAAATTAAAAAAAGATGTGACATTAACTGATGATTTAGTCTGTATGACTTGGTCTTCATCTACCTGATCTTCTGACAATGTTGGAATAGAGTTAGGTGCCTTTTGAGGGTTACACTCAAGGATACTATACTGCATATCAGCTTAAGAAGAAAGCTTAAGCCTGAAAACATTAATAGGAAATGGCAATTGTAAATGGACATTGCTTGTCCTGTCTTGTGATAATAGCCCATATAAAGCATTTTCTTATTTATTAACAACTAATTTATTACATCTATAACATTAATATTTAATTTTTTACTATTAATATCTGTATGTGTGAGTGGGGTAACTCAGTGGTAGAGCCCTGAGCTTCCAATGATCAAGGTCCCAGGTTCGAATCCGGGCTTATGGCAGATAAATCATTTATTCTGTTTCATCCTCTGTAGATCGACCCTGGGGCCGGAAGATCCTACTGGTGCACACCCTGTCTTTTTGAAGTGGGTACCCTTAATTAAATAATTAATTAAGGCAAAAAACCTGACGGTGGAGCATGATCTTGGTCAAATAACCTCCTTGGACAACCATTGACTAAAAAATAGTACTTAACCCAAGACCCTTCATGGGTTGTAGTCGTACTGTTTTTTTTTTTTATTAATATCAGCTACTGGACAACTCTTTCTTCTCTTTCAGTGCTGCGTCAAACTTATGAGAGGTCTTTTGATGTGTATGATGCGACAAAAGGACAAGGTTGAGAAATTCAAAATTACACAAAACCCAACTGATTCCTTACATGCTAAGTTCAGTTCAACTACTGGAGAAAGTGTTGTCGGGGATGAAGAATGGGGTCACTTACAAATTGATGCTGTCTCTTTATATCTGCTGATTCTCGCTCAGATGACGGCTTCAGGTACAATCGTAGAGGTTACTTTAAATTTATAAAATTATTAAATGATTAAGTTCTTGTGATGTTATTTTTGTATAAATTTATAAACTGCTTGTTTCGTTCTGTTTAGGACTTCAGATTGTATTTAGCCTTGATGAAGTTGCCTTTATTCAAAATTTAGTTTTCTACATTGAATCTGCATATTGTATTCCAGTGAGTATTGCATTTATTTTAATAGCAGGTCAATTTATTTATTCAGAAGTTAGTTAATAAAATTCTCCTTTTTTTCCTTTACTTTACAATGAATATTTCCTAAACGTTTGTAACAAAATTTCAAAGTCAACTCACTGTAATACTGATAACATACTTGTTATGTTGGTGAACACTTATAGTTATTCTTACTCGTTGTTCAACACTTAAGAAATTCTGGAAAGATAAGTCTAATTTTTTTATCCTGGTAATTATCAAATTTTTGCCTAGTTTATATTTAACCATTTCTTATCACTACTATCAATGAGAGACTGTTATTTATTTCAAATTGGCTATATTAAAAGTACTTTGGAAGACGTCATTTACAATTCATCAGCTAAGCCCTGTCAGACTACATAAATGAGGACAAGGCTTACCTGATCATCATTTACCTGAAAAAATCATTTAATTCTACGTTGATATAATCAGTTTAATAAAAATCGTACTAGAGCTGTTTTCAAGAAATTGTATATATATATATATGTAAAATCAGTTTTGTAGAGTGCCACTTCAAGTTTTCCTACTTTATTGAAAAAGTTACTGTAACATCCCAGTCATATCCTTACCTTAAATAGGTAATTTCAGCAGTATACGACTTTTCCATTTTGAGCTGTTCATGCATAAATAATTTTGTGAGACTTGGTTATTTAAACTGAGGAGACTTTAAAATGTGTAAATTCGTTGAAAATTTGACTTCAAAATTTTTCACCATCCTAATGCTTTCTTTTAATGTATATTTCATTTGTTCGTAAGGAAAAATAAAAATGAATAGTTTTATTCACTAACTGACTAAGAAATTATTTTTTATTTTATTTTTTTAATGAAAACCATAACAATAAAATGTTTGAAGATTTTGCTTTGTTATTACTTCTATATTGTATAAAAAATTACTTCTTTTCTAGGATTATGGTATATGGGAAAGAGGAGACAAAGCAAACCATGGTCTTCCAGAACTTAATGCTAGTTCAATAGGTTTTATTTTATTTTAAATATAGAATATTTATAATTAAATATAGAAGTATTTGCCTTAATTATTATATTAATAATAATCTACTAATAGGAATGGCTAAGGCAGCATTAGAATCGATGAATGAACTTGATTTGTTTGGTGCTAGAGGTGGTCCTTCATCAGTGATTCATGTTCTGACTGACGAAGCACAGAAGTGTCAAGCTGTGCTATTGGTGATTTATTTGACTCATATTTATCTTTGTTGTATTATATACCAGTATGATTATCAATATTTATTTTAATATTTATATAGTCGATGCTGCCTCGGGAATCTACGTCTAAGGAGCTTGATAGTGGGCTTTTGTCTATAATCAGTTTTCCAGCATTTGCTGTAGACGATCCAAATCTTATCAACACAACAAGAGAAGCCATTATCAATAAATTATCAGGAAAATATGGTTTCAAAAGATTTCTTAGAGATGGTTATAAAACACCCAAAGAAGTAGGTGTATATTTTCATTATCTTATGTAGATTTAATGTTGAATAGATATGAAATATAAGGCCACCATTATATTATAAAAAATTCTCTGTCAAAGATATTTTTATAAAACTCTTTTCTAACGCTGAATAAAAGTAATGTTGTGATGACAAAACACACCTATTTCACTATATAAAAGATTCTATAAAACTTAAGTGTAATTACAGTTGTAATTGAAACAATTGTTCGTTTATCAATGAAAAAAATGAGAAAAAGAGACGTTTGTGGTTTAAACTGTTCGATAAAAGTAATCCTAAAACAGATGATGTAACTAAGTCAAATTAAACATGTTACCTTACAAAAGGTCAGGTAATTCAAATTACTTTTTTATATGGTTAGGTATGTATTGAATATAAAATATTCAAGTTACCTCCATTGAAAGTCTTGTGGATTTGCTAAAGTGCTTCAAAAACCATTGAAATTTCAAACTTTTTTTGGCTTACGCTAAATATTTCCTTTTTCGTGTGACATAGACAGAAAATGTTCATATTCAATCTTAAACAGCTTAAAATTATCTCACGATTTTGTACATAACACTTTTTTCTAAACCCAACAGGAAGCGAATTATCAAGATTTCAAAATTTATCTATTTCGATTTCTTCGCAATAGTGTTCTTTCAGTTTTTAATGGAAGGATTCTGTAACTCCATTTTGAAACTTGTCCTGAGAATTTGGAGGTTTTCCTCAAGATAATGAGCCAAAGTTGAAAATCAAATATCATTTGTCAATGAACTGCCAACAATAATGAAAAACGCCCCCAAATAAACCATTTGGAGAATACATTTCTTTCTTTAAAACAATGATTAATTTTTAAAATACTTGAAACAGTCATTTAGAAAATACACCTAATCAGCACCTAAGGAGCACTGGCATCGCCTAAAGTCTTCTGCCGCATCATAAATGGCATAATAATATAACATTTTTATTATGTTATTTTGATTCTATTAACAAACAGATATTAATACAATAATTTAATTGTCCAAAACATTTTTTTTTTCTTTTTACTTCCTATACTCTTGTATAGCAATATCTTCCTATAACTATGTCATTTACGAGTACCTACTGAATGATGTGGCATAAATGTGGCAACAAGAAAAACTGTACTTATTGATGACCGATTTCATTAAAACAAGTGGAAATCTTTAAATTGTGTATCCTTTAATATTTAATTTAAAAATTTGAGCTAAGTCACCTATAAAAATGGATGATTAGTTAAAAGCATAAAATTATTTTGCAAATTTGCAAAATTTTACCCATTTTCAAAACTCGATAGTTCCTTCCTTAATTCTAACTTAATGATAACTTCCTGTTGGGTTTCGAAAAAAATGTTAGATAATTTTAAGCTTTTTAATATTGAATATAACATTTTTTTATCCATGTCGCTCTAAAAAGAAGATTTTTAGCATAAACCAAAAAAAAAATCTGAAATTCCAATGGTTTTTGGCACATTAAAGCGAACCCATAAGGCTTTTAAGGGCAGACTTGGATTTTTTATATTCACTTCATACCAAAGAATATAAAAAAGAAATTTAAATTACATGATCTTTTACAAAGTAGTAGTCCCCTTTTTTCGTTCTTATTTGACTGGGCTAATATAAGAAGTTATAAATATGTTATTTTAGGTTGGATGAAGACATTTTTAAATTATTAGCCCTTTTGTATCATTTATGAAAACTTTATCTACACTGAGGTAACTGTTAATTGTTATTTGTAGCTACCATAGAGACAGCAATATTTTCACTTTTTTAGTATTGTAACTTCCTTCTTATGTCTTAAATCATTTAATGGCGTACGTTTTGCTGTAGAATAGCCACAATAGTTTTATAAGTTTCAAGATGCTTCTCGGTTTATTTAATCAATATTTTGAAAATTATATAAAAAGTTATACTGTTCGTATTCCCATATGTACAGCTTTATCCCTACCACAGACTATCTGTTTTGGGATATGAATAACTACTATTCAATTCATTTACTATTTATAATTTATAATAATATTAGAGTCTAATTATGATATAAGAAAGTTTTATGCTGTTAAACTGTTTAACATTAAAATTTTACAAAAGTTTAGTGCATCTATAGTTTAATCCATGATCTTGCTGATCTAATGCATGTATATATTGAATACTTAAAAATAATAACATCCTCAATATAAATAAATATAAACAGTAAACTTTAGATAACTCAAATTTCTAGGATATGATTGCTATGTTTCTGCACACCTCTGTTCTAAGGCAGGTAGGATGTTCCAGAAACCGCATTTATTTCTATTGAATGAATTTGATGTTTATATTAGTATTTCTATCGATTCCAGAAGGGAACCGACCTACTTAAAAAGTATATTAATGATGTATTTAGAGAATAGATATCACAGACCTTAGTAATGAACTAATTTGAAATTTAATTTTCATTGGATATCTTTTCAAAACATGTCACGTTTCCAATTTAATATTTGTAACTATGTCTAAATGGTGAAATGCAAGGGAGATTGTTAACGAATTAAGATTTGATTAAAAAATAATCCTATATATAAATTTATAAATTACGTAAACTTAGATAATATTATGAGAATGCTAGTGTAAATAGGACTGATTGAAAAACTATTAAGTTACCAATCACCAAACACATGATTACACAGTTACTATCTGAATGGTTATTATGACTTAGCTGTTGTTACTGCCAGCTGGTGGAATGGTCTGCTTCGTTAAGGTTCTCTTCCCCTGGACCGTCATCTCCGAGTAAGCCTCGAAGTCCGCTTCGCTCAAGTCCTTTTCAGCGTCAATCTTCTACTCCTCTCGACTCACTCCTCCAGAACTGTCCTGTCCCTCTGCCTGTCTCTCCCCTGTACTTGTTTTTGACTCCTTTTTCCAAGTTTATTCTCATTGGTTGAAGTTTCGTATCAGAGGGGATGATCACACCTTAAGGCTGTATTGACTTTTCTTATTGGTTCAAGTTGTTTTTAGTTGACTATCTGTTTACATTATGCTAATAAAATGCAATAGTGTTTATTGTCCCCCAGCCCGGGTATTGGCAGACAACCTTTTCTAAGTGATTGAGGGGCCTTTACCACAATTATTATAATTTTTTCTATTTATTTGTATCAAATCATTAAATATATTCTAAATCTAGCCTCTACGATACATAGCATGATTAATCATTTAGCCTCAACTATAATTAAAGAATTATTACTTTTTATTTATTTATTTTTATGAACATTCTAGAAATTAATTATTTATACTAATTTTAAATGTTTGGAGATTAGATAATTCTTTTTTTTTTTTGGTAATTTTTAGGATCCTACAAGACTTCATTACGAACCTTGGGAATTAAGAGTATTTGAAAAGATCGAATGCGAGTGGCCATTGTTCTTTTGTTATTTACTTATCGATAGCATTTTTCAAAAGAATCCTGAAGAAACCAAGAAATATAATGATGCCTTAGAAAAGGTAATTTTTAATATTAATGAATATTTTTTAATGAACACATAGTTAATAGTAATATTTTGTTTTATTCATTTTTTATTGGTAAAAAGTTTAAACTTCATTCAAGGTAATAGTTTTGTCTGTGCTAGAAGACCTACTGCAACTTTATTGTCTTCGACCGCTCTGAAATTCACCCAAGTTTCGGGATCTACATTATGTATTTAATAGTGCCATTTGCCGTCTATGAAAGAACATTTAGACACTTTCATATAAACTTGTGATAGAATTTAATTACCTTTTTATTTATTTTTTTTAAACATCTCTTTAAGTAGATCATTTGTATGCAGATAACTTATTGTTAATTTTTTAATTGAATGGTTACAAATGGACTTTTCATTACTAGTAAATATCTTTTAATTGGTACAATAATTATTAAAATATCATCATTATCATCATATGTGGCACGACATCCCGTTACCGAGACTGGGCCTCCTCCAAGAGCCTCCACCAGTTGGTTCTGTTTTCTGCTGCAGCTCTCCGTACACCAAGCATGGTTCTCGCATCATAGGCCACGTTGTCCAACCATCTCGTCCTCGGCCTTCCTACCCGTCTTATGAGGTGCAGCTCCTCCATCATTATTTTCTTTGGTATTTCAACGGTGCTCATTCTGGCCACATGCCCTGCCCACCTTAGCCTGGCCAGTTTAATATACGTGACTACGCCGATGTCTGTATAAAGAGAACTGAGCTCCCTATTTTTTCTTTTCCTCCAGACATCACCCTCCTTTACTGGGCCATAAATCCTTCTGAGGACTCCTCACTCAAACACACTCAGCTTCATCTCATCGTTTTTAGTCATCGTCCAAGCCTCTGAGCCATATGTCAAAACAGGCTGAACAAGGGTCTTGTATATGATCAGCTTGGTCTTCTTTGAGAGATACCTACTTCTTAAGTGTCGGCCAAGTCCAAAGACACATCTATTGGCAGCCGTGATCCTTCTCTGTATTTCTTTAGCCATGTCATTTTTGCTATTAATTTCAGACCCAAGGCATATAAAACTTTTCACTCTCTCAAACTTAAAAGAACCTACCTCAAATGGAGAGTTCAGATCCACCTCACCACCAACTCTCATATACTTAGTTTTCCTCTCGTTGACTTCTAGACCAAGTGGTCTTGCAGCTGCTTCAAGGCCTATAAACGCTTCTCTGAGAGCCCGTTCAGACCTACCTATTATGTCAATATCATCAGCAAAACCAAGAAGCTGTGTCAGGCGATTGAAGATTATATCATTGGTCTAAATACCTGAGTCTCTTACAGCTTTCTCCTCTGCCAAGTTGAACAATAGACAGGCGAGGGCATCCCCTTGCCGAACTCCACTGCTCACTTTAAACTCTTCGGAGGCATCAGAACCGACGCGTATTCTACATCTCGAGCTGTCCATGGTCATCTTGATTAGGCGTACGAGCTTCTGAGAGATGCTTAGCTCCTCCAAGGCAAAGTATAGTTGTGTTCTATCAACGCTATTGTATGCTGCTTTAAAGTCCAGGAATAAAAGTGGGTGATTACCTTACGCTCCATAGTCTTTTCTAGGATCATCCTCAGAGAGATCAGTTGATCAGTGTTTGAGCGTCCTCTTCGAAATCCAGCCTGATATTTCCCCAGTTTCTTTTCAGAATATGGGAGGATCCTCTCAAAAAAAATTTTAGAGAGCAGCTTATAAGCACACGAAAGGAGTGAGATTCCTCAATAGTTAGCGCATTCTGTTTGATCTCCTTTCTTATGTATTGGGCAGATAATGGCTGTTGCCCATTCCGTAGGCATAGCTTCTCTCTCCCAGATGGTTAGCATTAAATCATGCAGAGCTTTCTTGAGTTCTTCGCCTCCACATTTCAACAGCTCTGACTGGATTCTGTCCGGGCCTGGCACCTTTCCATTTTTCAATTTCCTCAGGACGTTTTCCATTTCCTCCTCATCCGGGGGTTCAATAGAATTCAGGGAGTCTTCCTTAATTACTCCTACTTCTCCAGGCACCGTTCCTCTGTTTAATGCGTCTTTGGAATGTTGTACCCATCTCCTTAGTACGTCATCTTTGTGGCTTAAAAGAGTTCCGTTCGTGTCTTTGCATGCCGTCACTCTGGGCCTGAAAGCTGCCCTACCCTCGTTTATTCTCTGAAAGAACAGCCGACTTTCATTTTGGCCGCGCAATCCCTCTGTGTCCTCCATGTTATTTTCCCAGGCTATCTCATTCCGCGGAATAATCTCTTCTCTTCGCGTCTTTTTCTTCGATATGTTTCTTGGGAGAGCCTTGTGGGACGCTGAACCTTATTTCTGTAGGCTTCATTTTTCACTTTTGCTGCTTGAAGGCACTCAGCATCAAACCATGGGGGCCTTCTAGATTTAGTCTCTTAGCCAAGAGATTCTTCTGCTGCCTGTTTCATTGTGTTGCTGCATCTCTTCCACTGTTCATCTACCATAGAGCTGTCATTAATTACTTCTTCATTAAGTTTCGTCTCCACAGCTTGTTGATACGAATATTGGTGGTCTGAGTTCTTAAGTTTAGCTACATCAATCTTCTTCTTTGGTCGTTGGTGGTGGTTTTTAATCAGCGAAATTCGTGATCGGACCTATTAAAATATAGTGTCTAGTACTTTTGCCGAATGTTTAGGAATAAGTATGGAGGAAAAATTATAATACTCATTTTCAAGCATATTATAGTATGCAAGTAGATGTAATGCGACATGAGTATATATAAAAGTGCATTTAAACATTTCACAAACTATAGGCAACACAATTACCTAACTTACCTAACAGCGATACTAGCCTCCAAGCTAAAATTTTTTTTAATCCTCTTCTTACTGACAACAGATTGAAAATATCAATAACAAAAAACGTTAGCATAGGAAAATAACCATTCAGATATTTATATTTCTCATAGTTTGTGAAATGTCTAAATGCACCTTTATAGATGCTGATTCAAATATCAAATGAAAACTATGAACATAAATAAAAGTTAATGAAAATTGAGTAAATGTATTATATAATCATGTACAAATTGAATTAATTTATTATTTTATAGGTGCTTATAAAAACGGAGGAGGGAATGAAACTTGTTCCAGAAATGTATGCTGTTCGCTCTGAATTTGCCGATCCAAATGATAGAATCCCTGTCGGAAAATGTCCATTTCTTTGGGCCCAATCATTATATATACTTGGAAAGCTATTGCAAGATGTAAGTTTTATATTTAAAAATTCTCACACTTAATCATTCAGAGTTACTTCAAACTAAGTTAGATTGGTTTTAATATTATTTGGGCAATAAAAAAAAATTCATTTGAAGTACAAATTCATTCATTATTTGTATATATTTTTCAAAGTGAAATTATTTATATAAATTTCTAATATACATATATAATATTTAATTATATAGGTTATAGCAATATAAAAATTAAAATTTGTATATATATATATATATATATATATATACACACACACATATATAATATATATATATATATATATATATATATATATATATATATATATATATATATATACTGTACAAATATAAGCGGCCATCTTTATCAGTGGCATTCTTGAAAAATATTTTGTGGCACTTAATTATTTATTATAATCAAATAAATAATTACAGTAAAGGAAATGGTTACTTACAAAAAATAAATATAATATATTAGACAGCTATGAAAAATATATGGTAATTAATCGTTTTAAATCATATTTCGTAATCTCTATAATTTTTACTCTCACTTCCCTTTGTCTAAAAATACTTATTTCTCCTAAGAAAAGGGTGGTAAGTTGTGTGAAGCAAGCACTGCACCAGATTTTTAATTGATTGCACCGATGATTATTTGAAAGATTACTAAATTCCTTATATAACAAAAAATATCATGAAAATGGTGCATTATTAACAGAGGTACAGTCTATAGTAATCTACGCATGTATTGGTTCGTTATGAATGAACTAAAGTGATTCAACCGAGAAAAAGAAAATATTGCATTAATTTATTTGTATATTATATTTTCAGTTGTTCACTGACCAATATACCGTGCGAATTATTCACACAGGCCAACTAGTATAAATTATATCTATAAATTGATTTGTAATGACTAAAATCATTATAAACATAATAAATTTTTTTGTATTTTTAAGGGCTTTCTAGCAGCGGCAGAGTTAGATCCTTTGAACAGGAGGTTGTGTTCTGAAAAGAAGCCGGATGTTGTAGTCCAAGTTGTGATATTAGCTGAGAATAAAGACATAAGAGAGAAATTGAAGAAACACGATATTGAAGTCCAAACCGTCGATGAGGTTTCACCGATCGAAGTACAGCCCGCTCGCGTTCTTAGCCACCTTTATACTTACCTTGGTATGAGGAATTTAGAATAGAATATTATTGATTGGTTCATTATATGTAACACTTAAAAAATAACTTAATTTAATTATTTTATTTTTATTATTGCATATTTATTTAATATTTTACATGCTGAATTTTAGGAAGAAATGAAAAATTAGGGCTCAGTGGGAGAAAAAGTCGAGATGTAGGCATTCTTAGTACGAGCAAACTTTATTCTCTTCAAGATAAAATATTCTCATTCACTCCACAGGTATCATTGTTAACAAATGTTTTTGTTTGCTTTGTTTGTATGACATTGATATAATCTACTACTAACATTACAGAATTACATTGTTTATTATTAGGTATTTTATTAGTTTTAGTTTGGTCATACCAACTGTTATTGTTTCTAATAAACACTCATAGACAAAAAGAAACTGGAAATTCATATAATTTAAAATCGATAAGTTTAAATCATGAACATTATTGATCAATATATAAATCATGATTTATTTTAGCGAGCCCAGATTCTTAATTGCTGTCCATTGATGGCTCTAGTTGTTGATGTAGTTAACATTAATCAACATTATTGGTGCCATTTTGTTTCTCTGACAGCTGGCTTAGATTTTCAACTCGTTTCATATAACAGCATTGTTTTAATATTGTTGAACGTGTTGATTTTTGTGCCTACAAAGTATGATTTGCGGACAGCAATAATTTTCTGTGGCTATTTAAAGAAAATTTCTGCAGAATTCCATCAAATGGTTGTTAAAGCTTATGGCAAACATGCTCTCGGTGCTTTGAGTGGTTTAAAAAGTGGCGATTTTGATTTGAAGAATGAAGAACATATTAAGTGGGTGTGTACTGTTATTAGCTTATCGAAACTGTTATAACTGAACACTGTCAACATCAAATAGAACATTTGACACAAAGTGGAACGATTGATTCATTCAGTTAAATATTAATAGCATATTACTGACCATACTAGGCTGTGTGCGATTACTATTTATTTGCTTTGTTGGGGTACGCACTACTTACTCAGCAGTGTTTCAATTATTATGAAAATGGCTTGATGATTTATAATAATTTTAGTACCGGATCACCAGATCAAAAGAGCAACAGTATTTCTGGCTTGATATTCATAAATTCCTAGAGAGATGGAAAAAATTAAATTCTAATAAGTATATAATATTTTTTAACATTTTTATTCAATAAAGGTGTATTTTCTAAATGAAAATTCTGAATTCATATTCATATATGACTTGATACTACAATTCAGGCAACTTTAAGTTTTAATTAAATTAATGAAGTGATCAATTGATTTTTTTATTGTTTATGAACTGTTTTCTTTTCAATCTATGATAGTAAAAGGAAACAACTTAAAGAACGTTGTTTTAGGCGGAACTTAGATCAGTATCTTACAGTTAAAGGGTCTTCTGCCTCTATATAAATCTTTATATAGCTGCCTTATCAAATAGATATCTTATTTTTTTCTTTTAAGTTTAAATTTGTTTTACGTTATTTTAATCTAGTTAAGTAGAGCCTAGTGAAGAGTCGGAGCTCTGTGATATTAATAAAAAATGTTGTTTCTTAATTTGTGAATTTTTCAAAACTGATATTACGATTGATTGAGGACATAATGGCCAAACATGTTGGGGAGTGGATCCCAGAGTGCTTAGTTCTGAACATTGTTGGTTAAAGGAAATGAAACTTGAGATTCCCACTCTGGTAAATATGCTGCGGCAACCTCAAGGTAGCTGCCAGGGCATGGTAAAAAGGACCACAACACTCACTTGCCTAACTAGTTCTCTCCATTAATAGCTATACCAGTTTTCCCATTGATTGCTTGTTCAATAATGGATGTCTTCACAAATTATTCATTTGTATTGAAGCATTTTAATGATCAAGACCATGTGTGGAGAAAATGAAGTAATTAATTTATAATTTATAAATATGAATATCTAGTTACTTTTTGTTTGTGAACAACAGCCGTTATTTTTACTTGTAAATTAAAAAAACAAAAAAACATTTATTTTCTTGATTATTTAGTTTAGAAATTATGATCTTTTGCATGTTCAAAACATTTGAAAAAAATAATCTTTTTATGTATAATTGCCTGTTTTGTGTTAATTTTCTGTATTTAAATTTTAGTTTCATTTCTAACTGTATATTTTTGATCGGATGTTAACGTTTTTATAGTTTTGTTAATAATTCAGTTTGTATCACACTCATACTGGAAAAAAAACTACTATATCTTTATAATATATATACTTTTGTCTATATTCTTTGGTTTGGAGTTATTTCAATTATATTAATTTCTAATTAAAAAAAAAAATAGATAAAATAAAGTACCTTACTCAATATTTTTTTAAAAGAGTAATAACTTAATTGCATGTTCAAAACATTTGACTTTCTAATATTCGTTCTAAAACTCACTTTCTAATTTTTTTTTTACAATAAAATAATTTTTTTTTTCTATCCCAATAGGATTATTAATGACATATATAATATAATATAATCTTAAATGACACTAAAGATGAATAAAAATGTAACAATTTTTTTTTTTTATATATAGTCCCACTTTTGAGAATTCATAGAAATACAGTAAATTAGTATTTTTTTTTTTACTTGCAAGTCATGTAAATAATTTCTTTAATTTCAAGTTAGTTTTAATGAGAAAATCACTATCAAATATGAATATCTGGTGCAGAGAGATGAGAATTGGTTGCTACTATTTTATGATATATTTTATCTCACATTTGATAGCTATAATTCTTCCTAAAGTATTCAACAAATAACTAAAACATGTTTATTCATATTTACAATTTAATATTATCAAGACAGTCTATTCAACACACATAATTAGTGATAGTTCTTTCTTTACTACGACTACTACAGTAACAATGTATTTAGTAAGTGAGTAGTTTGCCCGACTAGGAAAACTATTGTAACAGTTAAGTAATAAGACTGCCATCCCTGACTATTGCTATTATCGCTGAATTATACTAATCTAGTTTTGTTTACATTCATTTATCTGTTTGGTGCAGGGTAGGGATGGGGAATAGTCGATAGTTTTCCACTATCGATAGTTCGATAAAAACTATCGTTATTTTAGTAACTTCCTGACACAGACTTAAAGAGGATTTATTATCACTGTATTCTTTAGTTATTTACTTTAAAATGCTGCATAAGCTTTATAATAATTAACATTTATAATAGATACATTCTTAAAGATTCATGTTAAGGCACTAATAAAAATTATCATAAAATCGTTGAATTCAAATAAGAAACATCATACGTGGTAATGACAGTGTTAGGATAGGTTGGAATATCAGCTTTATAAACTATGTAAATTATAGGACCTAGGATACTACCTTGAGGAACACCAGCAGACTGGGAAAAAAAAGGATGAATAATCATTATTATATTTTTAAAACCTAAACATGTAATAAGTATCCGATGGTAACCATATCACCTATGAGGATTTTGGTAAGAATTATTATTTTTCATGAAAACGGGACATTTTTGGACTTTAAACATCGGGCCCAGTATGGTTCTTCAAGAAATAGCATAGTTTTTTTTTGTCTAGGAATAGTGAATTGTCATGGTTCTTGAAAATTGCATGAATTGATTCACTCACTCCTGCTGCAGATATTTTATAAAATTATAATAGAAATAAACTCTCTTTGTGATTGTGTTAATTGTAATAAACAATGATGAATATCATAGTTTTAGAAATAATTTTTTAAATTTTTGTTAACTAGTTGACTGATCAGTCCCGTTATTATATTGCATCCGATAACGAGCTGATGATCGATATTTGCAAATCTGAAATCAACTTCTTAAAGTCAAGTTGGAAAAACATCCTTGGCCGCCCAATGGTTATTTTAACGCTCAAGACTATTTACTTAGGTATAGCATTCTCATATACCCTCTTGAATATAACTTGTCTTGTTGCATCTTCTATTCCTCTAGAAAACTATAGCATGTTTCTTACCTAAACTTCCTATTGTGTATTTAGTCTTCTTTGCCTAAAATAACCTTCTAAGTGTAGATATTGTCTCTGTATTATTATTAATTGAAACATTGCTTCGCTTGTGACTAACCCAAATGTTCAGAGCCTCGATCCAGAGGAATACTACATGCGCACAGATACGGAGTTGCTTGCTAGCGATATCAAGATGGACATCAATTTTCTTGCCATGCAATGGTCTATTATAGGGCGTCCTACGTATGTCATTGTCACGTCCCAAGCTTTTTTAGGTTAGTTAATGTATTTAATATTGTAATTTACCAATTAACCAAAAGGGTCATTCTACCAAAATGGCAGAATTTCAAATACACTTTTTCTAAGATTTTTTTCTGTCATTTTTAGTCCTTTATTTTTTTATATATGATCATTTGGAATGATTTTTTATTTATTTTCTTATTTTAGTGCTTACAACTTTACGCCTTTACTAGCAACAAAGCTTTATATTAAATTTCCAGTCACTTGGTTATCATTAATGCAGTCCTCTGGCATTTTGTGAAAGAACATCGATAGGAGACTCTTTACCCAATGACTTAGCAGACAGCCAATCAAAAATCATCATTTTTACATCTACATATTTACTATATGGCTAATTAGTCAAAGAAAAAAAATGCTTTAATTTTGATGTCACTCACCACAATTTCCACTCTTATGTAATAATCTCCCTTATGATCTTTCATTTTCTTGGGTCTTCTGAACTTTCGCTTTTGTTGAACATCATTTCCATTGAGTCTTCTCGCAGGATAAGGTCGAGATTTACACCTCCTGCTAAGACCTACAGTACATCATGAGCCTCACTTCAATATGAGACATGGTTCCGTTTATTGGATTGTCACCAACTTGCTCTTTTGCTTGTGTGAGAAATTCTGGGACCATACAGCAGACACATACCTCAAAATATTGATTATCACTCCTTCATAAATGGTCATTGTAGTCCCAAAATGTGCCTCCTGGAAAGGAAAATGGGAGAGAAATTATCTTGAAAATACTTATAAAGAAAGATCCATATTGCCATGAGTCACTAAAATTTCTCTCTTAGAAGAATATTAAAAAAAATTGTTTGTCAGGGGTTTACGCTAAAAAAATTATGAAACATGCTTTTGTAAGTGTAACTTTTTTTCAGAATGACAATGATTTCTAAAATTTCTGGCAATCAAAACACAATAATGTGATGAAGCTTTCAAGAATTAATTAATCCTGTATTTCAATCTCACTTCTCCCTTCTTGGGGACTGAGATTTTGAGTATTTCAAAATATATTCATTAAATATTTACTTTGAATCTTATTCAAAAAGTGATTTTATATAACTCCTCATCCTCTAAGAAAAGCAAGTTCTTTGTTAGTTGTTACTAGTCTTTCAATAAAATTTTGGGGACAGAAATTCTGGCGTTTAGGTAGAATGACCTATAATTGTGATTGTGTATATATCATACTAATATATGTAGTTGTCTTAACATAATATTGATGCTTAAAATTTTTTGTAATAAGTCATATCATACATTAAGAAACACGGTTATTTTGTAATGATTTTATTTATTTATTTTTTAATGCTTTCATATCATTAAAGATTAAGGTGAGTTTTACCAATCGATCTACTAATCTAAATTAATTACAATATATCATGCTGTTTAGTTTCATTACTCATATTGTTGGGTCTATACACATATATTTTATCTTAACCACTAATAATTATGAATTTTTATTTTATTTTATTTAATAATAGAAGGATTAAGTGGAAAAACGATGAGGTTCCATCTTTTTTGTGAGTGGGTTCATCAATGCGATTCCTCGATCTCCCTCAATGTGTCTTGCCATAATCGTTTTCATATGAGTTATTTGGTGTGTTGTAAGTTTTTGTCAGTGCATGGAACCTCATCACTTCATTCCTGCTCCTTTAATATTACTGTTGAAATAACAATATTATTGCTCTATTTCTTTATATATTTTTTATATAATTTATTCCCTTACTCTTACAATAGATGTTTTAATTTTTATTCACATTAATAGATAAATATGTTTCATTTAGACGATGATAAAATTCCTGTAGCGATGATAACAACACTGAAAAAACTGAAGAGTGGATATATTAATGGAACAAGGTTTAATATTTATATCTTTTAGTGTTATTATCAAGAACTCCTTATTCTTCTTATATATAACCGAAATTGCTTTATTTTTAGGGTAACCTTAGGATATCTCAAAGATTTCTTAAATACTTCATGTATCACCAATTTAAGCTTTTTGGGTTGTCAAGAAATTGGAATGCCAGACAGTAAGTTATATTTTTATCAAGTTTTCATAATAATTACCTTTGAATAATTATTAATTTTTTTTTTTCTCTTACAGAGTTAAATCCAGAAGTTCAGAGATATTTGGAAATGAATATCATGAAGTGTTTGTATTTTCCCTCGAATTTGCTGTCTACTAGAAAAGGAGAAAGGAGACATTCTATAACTAGAAGACTATCTGTCAAAGGAGCTATAAAGAAAACTCGAGCTATTATCGGAGACAGTAATTCTATTTTAATATTTTTAACATAATATTTGCTATTGGATTGTCCGGAAAATAATGCAGGATTTTAAGTTTTCTTCACAATAGCCCTCTATATAATAAACCCTTTATGTTTACTGGATTATTCATTTGTATGAATGTCAATACTTATTAATCCTCTTCCAAACAATAATATTTGTTTACCTCTGTAGCATTTCGCAGCTTAGAAATAATTCAGTCTTTACTACAATGTCAACGCATGATTTTTGTATAATTTTCTTTTACGAGTTTAAACTCAGACAGCAAGATAAAATGGCAATGGTTGATTATTATAACTATTGATTTATAAATATTTTCCTTTTCCATTAACTGAACTGTATGTAATTGCATACCTTGTGGTGGTACTAACTTTTTCCTCAAACTAGCCCCAGTTATGGCCACTAAACGCTTCTTCCTTAAGTTGTTTACTTATACTTTAATCATATTAAAAGACCTTTAGGTACACTGGTGGATCCACGAGAGAGATTCAGTCCTGAATTCATCATAATATCTAAACGCATCATTGTTCCTGTAATTACTTTTTTCTGTGTTTTAGGTACTTTCTTTTTTTCCCCAAAAAATTAATACCATAAAAAAATCTCAAAATTTAAATCCTGAACCTGCTACTGTTTAGATGTGAAATGATATTGTTATTGTTGTATACCTTCTTAAATCCTAACTTAAAAAAATAAACAATTCTATGCATCCTAGCATTCTAAATATAATTGTTTTATTTTATTTTTTTCTGTTGACATTGCAGGCTATGTAGATCTTTTGCTATAACTATATTGCATCTTTGTTGATTTTATCTATCCATCTGGTTTTTGGCCTTCTATTGGTGCATTCATTGTTACATAAAGGATTCCAGATGAATTGCTATGAGCTACATTTTAACCTCTATGCCTTCATATCATGGGATATAGATTGACCAATTTCTGTAAGCAGTTCTTTATTGGCCCTTCTTCTCCATGTGATAGTATTCTGATCCCAGATCGCTCCGGTTATCGTGCAGAGGATTTTTTTCTCAAATCTTTCAACAGTTTTCTGGGGTTCTCGTTATTGTCACAGCCATATATTAGAGCTGGCTTTACCATAGCATTGTAAACCCTTAATTTGAGATTTTTTGGGATTTCAATACCTTCGAAAGGAAGAAGAGCTCTGTTTTCGCTAGTTATAAGCTGGTCTATTTCTGCCCGTTGGTCATTCATTGAGTTATTGTGGAGCCGAGGTATTTGAATTTTTCTACTTTTGGGAATGATTTTTCTTGTACGTAAAATGTAATAAACTAGGTAAAAGAATTAATTTTTATAATAAAATCTATCGAAACATCGGCATAATAATTAAAAATACTATTTTTTTAAATTTAGTATTTATTTGACTGCACCCCCATATCAACTCCTTTTAATAAAATCTATCATTTTTAGACTTCTTCTACTCGAGGACTTTAACCCTTTACAGAAGACTCATATATGAGTCGAGAGCCTGTTAGGATACTATAACAACATATTTCAGCATTTTATTTTTTCAAGGGACAGTTTATAAAAGTTTAAAAGCTCATGGTATATATAAAAAAAAAAATGTATAGAAGGTCATGTTGTAAAAATACTTTTCAATTGTATAAAAGTTAGATAAAAAAATAAAATAATGATGCGCTCAATAACAAGGCAAGTAGAAATGATGAAAAGTATTCCATCACAGGGGCACAGAGAACTCTCGACTAATGCTGTCCTTATGAATGAATGAAAAAATAATTTTATTCTGGCACTACAGTCCCCTAAGAATAATAATAGCATTATATAATTAAGAACATTAATCTGGCTTAGTTGAATACAAAACGATGCCTAATTAACTGTTGATTGTTATTGTGATTGTGCTGTTGATTGAATTAAACTGTGTACAAACGCAAGTAAATTTTACATGTTTGCGGAAGTTTGAATATGGAGTAGGTGGTGGAACAGGAGTCGTTTGAAGGAATTTGTGGAGGAGGATTGATGTATGGAGTTAGGTAGAGAGTTCCATAAGGAGGTAGCACAAATGATGAAGGATTTGCTGAAGGAAGTAGTTTTATGGAAGGGGATATATATATATAAATCTATAGGTTGAGACCTGGTATTGAGAGAGTGGATAGAGTAAGTTGAGTAAGGAGTTCCAGGACGTAGGGAGGGTTTTTTGGTTCTGAGGACTTGAAAAAGGAATGGTCATCGGGAAGTAGGACAAAGCCACTTCAACTCGGTGTACCTGTATGCCGTTCCTTCTTTCCTGCTCATTATCACAAATTTCCTAACTTCTTTACCAAACCTTCCTTTGTTTTGTAAATATATGCCTTATTACTTTACAGTGTTACCAATTATTATTAAAGAATATTGTAAGTACTTTTAATATTAAAAAGTTTAATTTGTTAGGCGGTGACGTCATTATAGCAAGTGATGAGAGGAGACTGTCTGGAAGTGGAGCCACTCTTCCTGAACTTCCCAAAGTCCCTCAGAGTCCACGATCTCCCAGTCCTACTCAGACTACCTGGAAACAGTCTAAAAGAAACAGGTATTTTGAATTGATTTATCCCTAAGCCAACAAGCTGGTAAACATAATAAAATTTGCTGTTTTATTTTCATTTATATAAATTATAAATAAAGTAATGATGTAGAGATGGTTGACCGTTGATATAATATGAGAAGGAGTTAATCGAGGGGTGCGGTCAAATAAATACTAAATTAAAATATAGTAATTATTTCATTTTTGCCGACGTTTCGACCCACTTTGTAGGTTGTCTTCAGGGCTACAAAAGATACAAAACATCGTGAAAATAAATAAATAAATATATTTAGAAAATAAATTACTATATTTTAATTTAGTATTTATTTGACACCCTCCGATTAACTCCTTCTCATATAAATAAAGTATTTTTGGTTCTTACTATTAATGTATTTAATTTGATTTAATGTATTTAAACTCAACTCCATTTGTATAGATTCGCCCAAAAACAAATAAAATTTATTTGTTTCTCCCCTCCGATTTACATCTTTGCAGTCAGGTTAGTTTTTCTTTTTCTTTCTTATTTCAGACGTCTCAGTTTCTTTCCTCCTTCCTTTCACCCCTTTTCTCTGTTTTAACTCTTTATTATATTATACGTTGTCTGTACATCTTGATAGACTTTACAACATCTCAATTTTCTATCTAACTATTCTATTCGCAATATCTTAATTTTACTGTTTATTTCCATTTCTTATATAACTTCATATTTTTCTGTTTTACATTTTATTCTAAGATTCTCATTTTAATACTTATGTCACCTTTTTTGATTATGTTTACTTCATTATTCCACACTTTGTACCGCTTATTATCATTTATCTCTTAGTTCTTACTATTGTCATTATTCTAACAACTGCATTTTACTTTAATTTTTTTTTTTACCTACACTACTTATGTTTCTCATACCTTGTTATCTGGTTCTTTTCTTAGCCCTGATGATGGCCTGAACTTCAGGTCGAAACGTCGGCAAATGTCAAAATAAATATTATCATTTATTTTTGCCTTCTTATTTGACTGATCACCCCAACTATTCTTCTCTTCATTATTCACGACAGTCAACCATTTACCAATTATAAAATTTATTTATTATTAAATATTGTATTGTCTTAAGACTTGACACGGAGGTTTTATAATATTTCATTGAAATGAGCTTTTAAAAATCTTACCACCTACTCAATATTTTATGTATGCATTGCAAATTTAATTTTTTGAAAAAGTCAGGGTGAAGAACATATCTAATTTTTATTATTTGATTATAATATTTTCATATTAAAAAAGCATTTTCAATCATCTCAGATTTAAATTGACGTTTTTATCATTTTTCCCCTATTGTAATTACTTCTGTGTTCTTCATTAATAATTTTTCAGAATTGGCAATCCGAACAATAAATTGTTTTTGCATAGACATTCATCAGAGGCACAGTACGCTTCGACCGAAGTCGAAGAACTGTTCACGATGTTGAGAGAATCTGAAAATTTAGAAGAACAAGGCGATATTTTACAATATCTGATCGATACACAAGGAATGGATTTTAAAACAGGTAATTTAATTTCTATTTCTATTAATAACTGTAATATAACTGTTAATTTCTGGAATTCCCTTCCTATCAAAATTCGGCATTCCCTCTCCCTATCTACATTTAAAACTCTCCTATTCTAATTCCTGTCCCAAAAATAGTCAGATACCCGCTAACCTTTCATGTAAAATTACATACTTTTCATAATGATGTATCTACATATGATTCACCACTTAAATACTCTGACAATTTTTACTATCAGATTCGGCTTTTTTTTTTTTTTTTTTTTTTTTTTCTACAGAGACAAAGAGTTTATTTCTAAGAAGAATGTAATTTATTTTTTATTGGTTCTATATATATTTTTTTCTATATTTATAATATTATAGATTCTTTTTTTATTTTGTATATAGTATGTTTAACTAATGTTTTCTTTACTTATTTCTGTTTCTTTTTACTTTTTGTATTTGTTTTTATTTAGGCCAGATATAATATTTTAATTTTGTACTTTTTTGTTATTCTAAAGGGACTTTGTCCCAGAATAAAATTATTTTCCATTCTATTATATAACATTATTATGTATTTATTGTTTGACAATACTATTTTCACCGTGATGAGTTTATGAGAAATCCATGCCATTCCGTTATTCCAAATTTATTGGGAAAATCTAAGTTTTTGTAGCAAACTAAATCATAATTATTCCAAGTCCTCTATTAATATTAATATTTAATCTTTTTTTGTGTGTGTTTCTTTTTTTATCAGGAATTATGGAAAGAGGTGAATCAGTTACCTTAAGAGACTTATTGAAAGTACTTTACGATAAAGCATGCCAGCAAAAGATGTGGGGTCTAGTGCGCCATACGGGCGGAATCCTAGGAAAGCGAGTCGAAGATCTCGCTAAAGCTGTCACTGATTTATTGGTCCGACAGAAGCAGGTATGGAAATGATAGTTTTGAACATTGATGACAGTTCTCATCGAAAATATTTTTAGTGTCAAATTTTCAATCTGGTCTGAGACGTTTGACGTTCACAATAAGATCTAAAACATGGCCGCAACATTTGCTTGGAATGTAATTAGTACTCCTTATTTGTGTTTCATCTCATCTATGCTGTAGCAACCTCCCATTCTCTCTCCCAATCAACTTCTCTACAATTTTATTTCCTATGGACAAGTTGCTAAATTCACTGCTAATTACATCCATCTATCGATTGAATCCAGGACACATATACCGCATTTATATTGAGTTTAGGAACGACCTGATTCCAGCAGAAGGGTGTAAAAACTCCTGGAATGCTATAAAGCAAATAAAAAATACTGTATGTTTGAATTTCTAAACAGAAATAAATATTTCTTTTCAATATTATTTGTCCATAGGTCAATCTAATAAATATAGTGTGTGGTACAGACCTCTTTCATCAAATTATTAACATCTGCCTAAAACTTCCTGATTAGCTTCATCTCATCCTAACCCACACCTTTTTTATTTTTGAAAATTCTCGGAATTGGGGCATATTCAATCTGGAGATTGGCAAACTTTGTCTATTTAATTAGGTTCTAAAAACTAACGAACATCCATTTGTTTTCCACTTGAATTTTAAGATAATCTGATCACGAAATCGAGAATATAGGTGTCCTACAAACATATTGGGCCATTTGATGTGACCTCCATCTCTAACATGTTAAAATAATGATGTTATATACACTAAATATTTGTAGGCTACCATTTTTTTTCTATTTTATTATCAAATAATTTTATGATTCAAGTGGAAAGGAAATGGGTAGTAATGAGTTTTAAGTAACTAATTAAATTAATTAATTAAATGAAAAAAACATCCCATTTCTAAGAATTTCTATTGATAAAAAATTTGTAGGTTACAATAAGATGAATCGATTCATAAAGTTCTAGGTAGATATTAATAATTTGATAAAAAGGTAATAAAAAACCAAGCACTAATAATCACACTTGGTTTATTATTATTATTTATTAATGAACGTTTTGGGGAATATCTGTCCTCCTGTTAAGCATATAAAATTATACAATTAATATATTATAGGCTCGATTATGAACCAGTCATTTTTTTTCTATTGCAGTTCTATTTTTTTTTTTCCTATATGTGCTTATTTGTTTTAGGTGAAGTATTTATAATAGTAGAAAATAAGACTGTGTTTTGTTATTTCTTCACCACTTTTATTTCAATTTCCATCGGCTAGTAAGCTATTTGCAAGCCATCTTTTATGTATTTATCACTTAAATTAATAAAAATTCTAACTGCATCATTATGTAATACACTAATGGTGTTTAATTCTTCTTTAAATGACTTCAAACTCTCGCTAATCTTTGACCCATTCAGCCTCTGATATGTCATGTTTAAATCCATATGTGCTTATTTGTTTTAGGTGAAGTATATATAATAATATAAATGGCTTACTAATATAAATAGATGGCTTGGAAATGGCTTACTAGCCGAAATCTAGCGGATGGAAATTGAAATAAATGTGGTGATGAAATAACAAAACACAGCCTTATTTTATATTATTATAAATACTTTATCTAAAACAAATATATAATAATTTAATTTGATCGGTATTGCGATTCTGAATTAAAATTTCCTGCAATTTAATTTGTCTACATTCATTGCACTGTTATTATAGTGTACTTGATTTTTAATTTTCCAGATTGACCTATAGACACATGATAGTGTAAAGATATTTTAAAAAAATTAAAACTGGAAAATAAGAAATAAATATAGATAGAAAGTAAACTGAATAGAAATATCGTAATCGTAGTATCATAAATTGTGAAATGGCAATAGGTTGATTATATCCAGTGAATCCATAGTCTTCAAAAATTGATTTTTTTTTTCTAGGTTAAGTTTTATTTCTGAGAATTAAATTACATTCTTTAAAAAAAAATATTAAATAAAAAATGAAAGTCCTTAAAAGACTGTGTGGTTCAAACAATTTGTTTATAGATGTTTCTTTTTGCTTCGATTTCATGTTAGCATATTCTTATAAGCTTATATTGTACTTTTCTGTTTAACAAGTTGAAAGCTTTCACTGTCACAGTGAGTTATCATAATTTAAATAATATTTAAGTTATAAAAATACTGTAAAATTCAAGTTTATGTTTCATGTCACTGTAATTATAATTTTTGATTTAAGGTAACAGTAGGAATGCCACCTTTCAACGAACAGACTATAACCGCTCCTCTTCCTGAAAATGAATTGCGACAACTCATCCATTTGGCTTATGGTGACGATGAAAGTACTGGAATGCTTAGCCAGGTAAATATTTTAACACAATAAGGAAAATAAATACTGGTTTGTGTTGAAATAATGAAATAAGGTTCTATCTATATTTAAAGTATTTTTACATATTATTTCTCAATGGTATATTTTTTTCTTGGTACCCCATATCTTTGGTAATGCTTCATCAAATCCAATGATTGAATAGTCATTTTGAAGATAACCTTTTCCTTTAGCACATTCCTCTGTAATGTTAGGAAAAATGTTATGAAGAAAAGTAAACTTTATTTCTGCTTAACTCAAACAGCATATTATTTGTAGTTGATTATGAACATGATAATTTATAAGGTTTCTAAATAAGACGAAAAAAGAAATCAACAAAAACAAACCATTATTTTGCAGAGGTTTATACTCCTATCTGATTTCCTAGAAGGTTATGTGGTTGTATTCTTCCTTTATATCAGTGATGATTTCATTTTGATGCACAACACAGCCACAAGTTGCAAACATGGTTAGCGACTGTCTTATTGAGGTTGCTATATTCATCCTACAGTGGCCAGTATTACATATCCGGAGGAGTGCATACCTTCCCGTGAACTTCGCAAACCTCAGACCAAAAATTAATTACTAAAATATTTTAATTTAATGAGGAAAAATCTCAGAAAAAAATTTAGTATTTTTCACAATAATGTATTTTTGTTAATATTGTAGCCTCGACAGATTCCCACAGCAACAGTTTCCGTTCTCACTACCAGGAACGAGTTCACCTTCCCGCTACAAGGCAGCGCCCTGCAAACTCGCCCATGCAACATACTAAAATTGTATCTTTTATTTCTTATTGTTGTATCATAAAATACTTAAATTGTAAACTGAAATATTCATATTCATTGTAAATACTTTTTATTAATAAATTTTAATAGCGGTTACATATACTGACTAAAGCTCAAAATAACTATTATAGTAACGGCTCTTGGTAGCCAGTTTGGTCTTGGCGGAATGAATACGTCAGTCAAACCTCAAATTGTCAGTTCTATGGACCCCTTCAGGGTTTAGACTCGGCAGTTTATACACTTTCGCCATATACACCCATATACACTTTCGGTTCACAATAGTCTGCTATACATATACCTCGACAATATAATTGGTTTTCTATAAGTATATTTTTCAATCTGTTTCCACATTTTTCTTATTGAATATATATTTTACCTGACACATACAGAAAAAATCAACAAATTAACAGGTATGCTGTATTATTATGGGTATACTTTTCTACCGCTACTAGTTAATGAAAATATTTCAATTGGATCAAATTTCCCATTTGCATTTTTCAACTGATCTTTACGTTTCATTAACATTGGTACATCCGTTACATTCTCTAGTATCACTGGTTTTTCAGTCACCTTCTTGAAAAAATGGAGGATGGCAGACAGAGGTGTTTTGTTTTTATTTATTTGATTTTCTGGTTCTATGTACCTTAATATGTAAAATCTCAAATTTTGAGAGGAGTTTAACTTTTTATTTTCTATTAATTACAAAGGCTGATTATGAAAAATAATAAACCAAGCAAATCTGACCAGTTTTAGCTAAGTTATAGTTTATTGAATCTTTTAAGCTGATTTTAACTGTGGCTCACGTTTCCATTCACATGGCTTTAGAGCATCATAAAAATCATACTATTATCAATACTCTGGCTGATTTTCAAGAAAATTACTGTAGTTCAATTTTTTTTTTTTTTTTTTTTTTTAATGGACATACTTAAAGTTGTATGAATTTGTCTAAATTTGGTAGGAAATTCATGTGAGCGAACACACCATATTTTTGTTGTTTAGTATACATATTTTTATTTTGTTTTCAGGAATTGTTGGTCTACTTAGCAATGTTTATCCGAACTGAACCTATGTTGTTTAAAGAAATGTTGCGGCTGAGAGTTGGATTGATCATTCAGGTGAGATTTTCAAAAAGATAATGTTTACAAATTGTAATAGTCAATATCACTTGGCACGTTTAAAATAACTGTCAACTACTTTCACTTTAGGTAATGGCTATAGAGTTATCAAGAGCTTTAATGTGCTCAGGAGAACAAGCTTCCGAACATCTGCTCAATTTATCTCCGTTTGAAATGAAGAACTTACTTCATCACATCATGAGTGGAAAAGAATTCTCCATCTCAAATTGTAACCTATTAATTTCCTTTGTTTTAATTTGTATTAATACTTTTAGGGGTGTTTATTATGTTTTTTTTTTTTTTCAGTGGGTCATGGAAATTTTTCTATAATCAGTTCGAAATCTGGCAAAGTCAGTAAGGTATGAAGTTTTTCTTCTAATTACCTATAGGGAATCTTTTTTTTTTTTACTTTATTACTTCTTTAAAACAAGGTTGATAAAAGTTGTGAGTAATTTGTTTTTCTTGATTTTCAGAAATCCCAAATAGGCAGTTTTTTGGCTACTATTGACGAGAATACAGAAAGAGAGAGACAAGGCCAGTGGTTGCGTAGAAGGAGACTAGATGGCTCTCTCAACCGGGTTCCTGTTGATCTTTACCCAAGGGTTTGGACTGTGCTAGAAAGGGTTAGTAATATTAGTTTAGTAGTAAGAGTCATCCAGGATCGAAATCTGTGATCAATTTTTTATGAATAACCCTCATCGTCAGGACCAAATATTAAAATTTATATCAGAAAGATAAGGTATAGAAAGAGTTACATAAATAAGTCAATGTAATAATATAATATTTATTTAAATATAATAGTAAAATAAACATAATTGTACACCAAGAAAAAAAAAATCTAGTACAGAACTTTCACTTATCACTCTATTTTGGATAGAAATTATTTTCTGGCAATGTTGGGGGCTATTATAAAATTTTAACAGAGTTATAGCTTAAAATTAATAAATCATTAATACCACTAAAATTGCAAAACCCTATTAACTATATCAACGGTAGGCAATAAAAACCTCGTTAATCCATCTGTTTTTGTAAACCACATAGCTCCAGTCTCTTTCTTACTGAGCTATATATATATATAATGTTACATTATTTTTATTATCAAGTTATCATAACATTAAAAAAATACATTAGTTAGAATAGTGAAGGGTAGGACAATCCCAACTCCCTCGTTTCAGCCTTGTCTTGTCCCGACCGTTGGTCAGGATGTATGGAAAGTAATCTGTTAACATCTCTACAACCGTTAGAAAACATAAACTGGATGTTAAAATAATTATGTTATATACACTAAATATTTGTAGGCCACCTTTTTTTTTCTATTTTACTATCAAATAATTTTATGATTCAAGTGGAAAGAAAATGGGTAGTTATGAATTTTAAGTGCCTAATTAAATTAATCTACGTTTGGCAGCAGTTTGGAACTACCATAAAGACAGTCCAATTGAACAGCATTTTATACATATATTTATAATAATATATTATATTAACATAAATTCAATTTTATTTTTTCATAAATGTTTTATTTATTAAATATAGTATTAAGTGTGTCGGTGTCATTTATTTGATCCTTAAAATTCAGTTTATGAACCAATTAAGCCCTTAGCATCCAATAAATTTCATTAATAAATCAAACTATAATTTTAATTCAATTCACATAACCTTAACAAAATCACAACAATATATATATGCCTAGAGAGATTTGAAAGTATATCTGTATATTCAACTTATAAATGATTATGGATTGTAAGCCTATTAGTTATTGAACTGTTATTTTCCATTGTAAAATTTAATAAAAGGAAATTAGATGTTCATTTGACTCATTCCTCATGGCTTTCCAACAATATATTGCACGTATACCTTCTGACTATTATTTCCAGAGATTCATTTTCAACTTGGATAAGAATTTTTCTTTTTTTCTCCTCGAAGACTCAGATATAAATTTTTTTGCGGTTAAAATAATTTGCCCTCATTATATATCTTATATTTCCTTCTGTATCCGAAAGTAAAAAATGGATATATTGTGTTTTGATTGTAAATAAATAATTTCATTTTGGATCTTTTTCAAATGTCCTATCTGTTTTAGTGTGAAGGATTGGCAATTGAAGGACATTTACTTCATAGGAATCTGACTCAAGAGGTAATCATTTTCAACTATTTCTTTATCCATTAATTACATTAAGTTATAGTTGAGCGAAGCCTTTAAATAGAGTAAATTGATTTAAGAATTTTATTTTTTTTTTGGTATCACCTTAAAAATAACTATTTTTTCTGCAGATGACTTCTGGTGAATTGAAATTCGCATTGGCTGTGGAGACGGTTCTTAATAAAATACCACACCCAGAGTATCGCCAGTTGTTAGTTGAAGCGCTGATGGTACTCACATTAATCGTTGAACATAATGCTACTCCTTCATTAGGTGGAATCATAGCTGTCGAAAATTTAGTTCATAAGGCTAACCAAATATTTCTTGAAGATCAGGTACTATGTCAATTCAATTTTGAATAATAATAATAATAATACTTTATTTATTCTGGGACGAGTCCCTTTATAATATTACATAAGGACAGTAATGTGGGCTAAGGAGCCTCAGAGATACATAAAAAGAAAAGTTGAGTAATGAAATAGTCATATTAAAAAATTATAAGTTACTTACTAACTTAAATAAGTTAATAATAAAAAATTTAAAATAAAGTAAAAATAACGAAGAACAATATAATAATTTATATAAATATTTACAGTGGTATCTATTTACAATTTTATGGGGCTGGATGGATAAAAAATGATTGAACAGGCGGGATTTAAAGGTAGGAAGGGTATTGACGGATGTGGGAAGGGATGGAGTTCTATAAGGATGAGGATCAGATAATGAATGATCTGTCAAAAGCAGCGGTTTATTATTATAATAATAAGCAGTTTATTATAATTAATCATTTTATGAATGAATGATTAATTATATTAATTTATTGTATTAATTTATTATATTAATGGCTGTAGATTTAATATAGGATTTGGGTATAAATTTGTGGAATTTCAAAATGTGTACAATATTCCATCACCTTACCTAATCTTTCCATTTACTTTATCATTCTTTAATTCATTCAAAAATTTGGATTGTAGTCTCAATAAAGACCTAAATATCCTTGAAATTTGTGACTGTATTAATATTTATAAATGTTTAAGTAATAAAGTAAATTAAAAAAAAAATTTGCTGGATTTTACGATGTTGCGACATTTTCACAAAAATCTGTACTGCGGAGAGACAGAGGAGGATGAGTATAAATAAATCTACAATATATTATAATACAATCGTGTAGAGCCCTTTTTCGCCTCTCAGGAGTGATGAACTTTGATGAATGAGGCATCAAACAAAAGAGAATTTCATGAAGAAGTAATGAATCCCAATTTTGATCCTGAAATGCCTACTCCAACTTTAATGAAAATTATTGAAAAATTGACAAATTTCAGAGCTGAAATGGTTTCAAAAGTCGGTGGACTGAGATGAAACAAGTTATGTTTTAAAGATTTCTTAAGATAATATACTACCTTTATACATATAGTGTAGATTATTGCCGTGAAGTTATCTACAATCCTTCTTCTTTTTTCTCTATCTCCTTCGTGCTGTTAAGCGTGGAGTAGTCTCGGTCCATGTTCATTATGTGTCTCTATCCAGGATCTTCATTTTCATCTTCCCCAGGGTCGTCCTCTATCGTCCTAGTCTAACTGAGTGATTCTCGGGAATCCAACTAGTCGCTGCTCCCTCGGTCTGGCCTCTATCAGTCACCTAGATCTACGTTAGTTCCCCTTCCTACAGACATGTCCTTCCGTATCACTTGAGCTGGAATTCCTCTATGACATCTCTTGCGTGCCTAACTTCAAGGGTATCTTTAATTGTCCTGTTCCTCACGCAATCTCGTCTCGTCTTTCCAGCAACTATTCTCCTATTTATAATATTCCCAATCCTATTTATAATTTGTATTAAAACATAAATTAGCATTTTACAATATGATAATGGAAAATGATCTTATTTTTAGAGGAAAATTGAAGGAGATGCAACTCTATGTTGTGCGAGAGGCGGTATGAGTGGAGGAGGTCTGGTCTGTGGTGGTGCCGCATTCATCTGTCAACACTTCTATGACAGCGCTCCGAGTGGAAGCCATGGAACCATTACTTATATTATGAAAGCTGTTATTTCTTTATTAGACTGTTTCCCTCAGGATGGTGAAGTAGAATGTATTACTTCATAAACAAAACTTATTGACACTTAAAAGTCGTAAGTGCACTACTTGATCTAATTGTGCCTTCTTACCTGTACATATACTTTCACCGAAATATTCTTATATTTTAGTCAGAATCATTATGCATCAAATCAAAACTAAAATTATTTCATATCAATGGTTCAGTTCAAAACTGAGACAACTCAAAAATCAATGGTTTTCCCTTTTCTTCTGATACCTATCACCTGTAATCTCTTCTTCATATTGTACTTGGTTTTGTACAATTAAGGTTTATAAAAGTACCTCATTTAATTTTTTTATGTAATACCTAATTTAATGTTTGTAATTTTTTAATTGTATTACCTATTTTAATTGTTTTCATAATAGCTAATTTTATAGACCTTGGTACAAAAATGCACCATTTCTAAATACCTTCAGCATCAGTGTAAAAGTTGATGTTTTACCAAGAAATATATCATTTAATTTTTTTAATTTGTTCAAAACGTTTGAGCTCGTTTATCTAACAACCTTGACTTTCGAGTTATTTCAGTTTTAAACTGAGTCATCGATATGATTATAATTATTTTTTACTGTGGAGATTAGATCTTAAATAATATAATTTAAAATTCCTTCAGTAAACAATCTTGTTACTGTTTTTTTTTTTTTTTTTTTACAGGATTGATAATTTTTTAGAGTTATTAAAATAATTCACCTTGTTATAAATGGTGCCATAATTATTGAGTTATAAGTTTTAACAAAGTTTGTTAAATCGAAAACTTAGTTTTCTTTTTAAATCATATAAATAATAATATCAGATTCTGTAAAAATTTAAAGTGATGCAAAAGCCTTCCACTTTAAAATATCCTGGCTCTTTGAGAAAAGTTTTTTGACAATCTGAACCAAAATCTGTTAATATCTCTATTACTGTATTTTTAAAGTTAATAAGAATTGTTCACAAATAAGTGATATTGAATATATAATAGTTAAAAATATCATTAATGTATAGGAATATTATTATTTTGAATTTATATTCCGTATTTCGTAATAAGACTGAATTTACCCAGACCTAACAGATAATTGTTTACCATCGTTACCAATCTTGCTGCATTCATGCTGTATGTGTTTAACATATAATTTACCTGTTTTATACAACTAGTTTTACTGTAGTTTGTAAAATAAGTCGAGTAGTTTAGAATATTGTAAATATTGAAGTTAGTTTTTATTTTTAGTGTCAAAAAAAGTTTATGAAAATTCAGAAATATATCAAATTTCGAAAAGTAAGCTATTCAAGGTCTGTTATATTTTAAGTATCATATTTTGTTTATTTTTTTGGGTTTCACATACTTTTATACTTGAAAAGTATAATATTTTGATGAAAAATTTATCATCTCTCTTCTGATTTATATTTAAAATAACTTTTAAGATTTTACAAAATATTTACATCATATAAAATGGTGTTTTATCATTAGTCATGTTCTTCTTGTTGTACATCATGAAAAACATTTTTTTTATTTATTTAAAAAATCTGTTGAATATATAATTAAATTATTGGTTTCGTCTGCCAGTCTACCAACTGCTTCCTGCAGTGCCCAATACCACGCCCTGATGAAGACCTACAAAGTGGGTCGAAACGTCTGCGTAAACAATATAATACTATTTTGATACATAGTATTCATTTAACCGCACCCCCTGACCAACTCCCCATATTTAAATTATGGTTACATTGATGCCATCTTTGATCAAAATTAATTTTTAACATTATATTTATTATCTCTCTTTAGATTTTTAGTTTAAAATGAAATTTAAGATTATAAAAAAATGTTTCATCCTTTAAAATAGTGTATTCTCATTAGTGATATTCTTCTTTAGTAGTCTTACATCATCAAAAGAATTTGTTTAAATTTAAGATATATCAATTGATGTGTTTAAATTATTGTTACATTGATGCCATCTTTGATCAAAATTAATTTTTAACAATGGGAATTTGAAAATGAGTGATACGTAAATTGTAATTTAATTTTGTATTTTTCTTCAATGTATTTGCCATTCGCTTTAAAAACTAGTCAAAATCGTGATAATTTCTTTTTAATAATGCTCTGTAAATGAATTAAAGATAATTTTATTTTATTGATTAGAAATTTACTTTTAAAGAATCGTAAAGTGAGATATAAAAGATAAAAATATTTGTGAATCATTAATAATTATGAGAAGGAGTTGGTGGAGGAAGGGGTGAGGTCAAATAAATACTTAATTTTTAAAAAATATTATTTTTAATTGTTTCGCCGACGTTTTGATCCACCTTGCATGTCTTCATCAGATCTACAAAAGATACAAAATATAAAAAGTACATAAATGAATTATAAGTAGATATTAAATAAGAAACAGTTGTCTGATAAAGAAATTATAAGAAAACATCAGATATATAATGGGTGACAGTGTAGTTCAAACATCAAGTATTATATATGTATAGAAGAAACAAACAAAAATAGAAAATAAGTATGAATAAAAATAGAAAACAAATGAGAATATAGCATGTAAGTTAAAAGTAAACAGATTTTGATAAAATCTCAAATCAAAATAAAATAATTTTTATTAAAAAAAAATAAATAATAAAATGTTTTATCAAAATCTGTTTACTTTTAACTTACATGCTGTATTCTCCTTTGTTTTCTATTTTTATTCATAATTATTTTCTATTTTTGTTTGTATCTTCTATATATGTAATGCTTGATATTTTAACTACACTTTCACCCTCTATATCTCTGAGGTCATCTTATTATTTCTTTATTAGACAGCTGTTTCTTATTTAATATCTACTCATAATTCATTTATTTTATTTTCACCATGTATCTTTTATATTTTGTATCTTTTGTAGCCCTACTGAAGACATACAAGGTGGGTCGAAACCTCGGCAAAGCAATTAAAAATAATATTTTTTAAAAATTAGTATTTATTTGATTGCATCCCCCGACCAACTCCTCATATTATATCATGGTCAACCATCTCTACATCATTAATAATTATGAAAATGTAAAAACATTCCACATGCCTACATTTCAAACACCAATTTATTTTCATGTAATGATGAAACTGTTGCATGTTTTAATTATTAAACAATATATTCACTTATTTTAATGATTCATTCATTTTATAAAAAAATATTTTGATTCATAAGTTTTATTAATTTGTTGATAAAGACATTGTTGATTTGTATTTGCAATAGATAAGTGTTGAATTTTTATTCCCTGTAGATAATAATAAGAAGAGAATTTTCTTTTGTTCAATGTTAATATACTTAAGTACTGTTATTGTAAAATATTTGAAATAAAGAAAAAATTATAAACTTGTCTTTTTACTTTTTCTTGTTAATTATCATTTGTGCCTTTCCAGCCCCTCTAAATAAAGTAGAGGGTTGACATTTTTTATGTATATTAACTTTGTGTTGGAGAAGTATCTTTTGGGAGTCTTGATTTTTTCTTTTCTTCCCGCCATATTTCTCTGTTTTGTGCATCTGTACAGACCAATTGGGTTATAGGGTTGAATTTTATGTTGAGTTTCCTACACCCTGATCTTAACATCACATTTATCCTAGACCTTATCCATGAAAATTTTTCCAATTTCCATCAGAACCTTACATATCACCCAAATCCACTTTTGCAATCCGTATCTAGCACTACCCATCCTTACAATCCTCTTCGAAGGTTGAAGCGGCAGTGGTCCAGAGACCTGTTATAAGCACATATTGCAGTTATGACAATGGCCAGATTCTCCACTCAAGTCTTGTAGGTCTTTTCTCTCTTTTTTTTTTTTTGCAAGACCCTTCCTGGCACTTTTACCATAGGAGGTTTCGGCAGTAGTGGGTTAATACATTGGGAATACGTACGTCCACTTCTGCTAATAAGGTTATTTATTTTATTTAATTTTTATTTTATTTTAATTGCAGTATACTGTGGTGCGGCCCGGTGCATGGCTGTACGCCTTACTGATGTGGCACCGTAGTCTCCAGATAGCTTCCTCCAGTGGCTTGACACTGCTTCTACCCTACCTCTTCCTCCTGGGCTGCTGGTGGTAGTTCTCTATCGTGAAGTGCGTGGACTCCACCTTCTGTCTCTCTTTTCCCATGAACTCCACCAAGTGGGACTTTTCTTCCCTTCCATTAATTGGGAAAGTTCCTCTTCATCTAGAGCATACAGTCCCATCCTCCGCATCAAGATGCCTTTGGCTTGCTCCATCGTGGTAAAAGAATTAACCACATGCTCAGTCGTATCAGGGGCACCGTAATCAGGACATAAGAGGTCGATGTTCTTCCTGTGCTGACTGAGTTTGCCTCTAAACCCCCATGTCCCGTCAGGATCTTTGAGGTCCAGTAGTCCAGCTCGGCCCAATGCGCTTTCAATCTGGAATAAATGGTAGGGAAGTACATTCTCAAGGTGACTCCTTTCTCATCTACGACCCACCGCCCATTCCATTCCTCTAGTGTCATCTCTCGGACTATGCCACTCAATCTTTCTGGATTTTCAAGGACCCTCCACTGAAGCCCTTCTGGGAGTGCCTCCAACCGCTGCCTCTTTAGATCATTCCTCCATGTGTCCTCCTGAAGGACGAGGTACAGGGACACCTCCCCGGCCAGCACTGGCACCGCTTCGTGGGACACGGTCCTGTACGCGATCTAGTTGCCCTCAGTAGAGCGATTTGTTGTCTCTGGATGCTGACCATCTTCTTCTATATCTGATTCAGGCGAAGGCCGCCAGCTTTATCTTTGTCGCACACTATTCTTCGATTATGGTGGCGCACCTTTCTCCTTCCGCCACCAATCTCGCTCTGCTATTCGGTGCTACTGTGTCAGCCAGGTCATCAACGTAGGAAACGCCACCGAAGCCCGCTTCCTCCAGCATTAGGTCAAATACTAACTTCCACAGGGCCGGGCCCAGGACTGAGATATCCTATTTGTATTTTCCGCTATACCTCATAGAAGGTACCCCGTATCGTGGCTTTCCTGTCGCTGAAGTACCCCCTAATGAAGGCGTATAAGTTGCTATGGGCGTCGAACTGGAGTCCACAGAGCCACCATATGCTGTCGAAGACGGAGGATATGTTGAAGAAGACCATCATGACATATTTTTCCACCTTGTCATCAACCTCTCTGCTTGAACTCACCAGGGCATCTCCGGCGCAGCGCCCCTTTGTGGATCCGTACTGTCTTGGGTGACTCGCTGCCTCCACGACTGGCGCCAGGCTCTTCAGAATGAGG